AATGTTTTCAACCACACAAGTAAAAGTTTTTTGAAATGCCTTCAGATGATCAGCATGTGATCTTGCTTGAGTTACCACAGCAGGCACATTTCATAACTCGTCATTATAAGGACTTCATTCCGCCAGTATTTAAGTTGCTACATTTAGAGTCTATTCATTTTAATAAGTGCCAACAATGTAAACAATGAGTAAATGAGCAGTTTAGTCTCCAGTGTCGTGTCGCTGAGATGAATTGAAGCCATGAAACAGCTGTGTTGACTGAGAGGAGACAGCATAATCCACACTTCAATTAGACAGAGAGACTGGATGTGGGTGTGTGTGTGTCTGCGCATATGCTGTGGATACCGGTCTATGCACATGGATGTGAAAGTGTGTGTGTGTGTGTGCGTGTCTTGAGTAATCCTGCTTAGTCTGGCGGCTGGGGGAGCAGGTTTAAGTAGTGTGACAGTATATGATGGGCTGGGTGAGGGTTTAATACTAGAACCCCTGTGAACAATAAAATGCACACATACCCACAAGCCTAAATTGTGTCGGTGTGTGTGCATGTGTGGCACAACAGCACAGCCAGTAAGCAATGTGCTTGGGGGATGGTCGTAAGGGGCTGAGAGTAAGATAACAGTGTAAACAAATGAACTAATTTAGAGCAGCTCTGCTCAAACAGCAGGGACACTGTCGTTAATGTGGTCTCAAAGGGTCGACGCACATTACAAGATTTAATTAAGATCTCTCAAACTAATTACACATGACTGCTTTTTACTGGTAGAGTGATTTTCTACGTTATAAAATGGGCTTTCCGTTGTTTGACAGTACTTTATGTGAAGTGTTACAGAGAGTACTATTTAGGGCTGCTTATCAAACCACAATAACTTTCTGTCCTTCTTTGGTTCTCAACCAAAAAGTATTGAAAAGTACCAAAAGCTAGAACTGGATGTTCAGATTTGTAGTCTTATCAACTTATTCTTTGAAGAGAGAGTTCCTGATTTAAATCAAAATGTTGACTTTAGACTGGCAACATTATTGTACAGCTGAACATATGAGAACTTGATATTTAAAGTAAATATCACAAAGTAAGCATTTTGACTTCAGTCTTAAAACTCACTACCAACCAAACCACAGTCAACGTGCTAAATCTTTGTCTTCTTGTATTCCAACCTAACATTAAATAAATGAGGCCTAGTTTGAACACAACAGAGAGAAACATTCTTATTAACATTATTGTTGCCGGTCATAGCAAAATCATCTCTGACAGCTGAATGTTCAAACATGGCTGAAGCAAAATGCCTCTGTGGCTGATCACCAACCCCATTCCCAGAAACCAGATTACAGCATCTGCTTGTCTTAAACACTATATACACACACACACACACACACACACACACACACACACACACACACACACACACACTCATTATACAGACTGTTTGGCCAAATAGGCTTAGCTGAAATGATCCACAAAAGAATCATAAAATGTCAGTGATGTATTCCTAATACATATTCAGGCACACAGAGACAAACAGAAACAGCACTCGAGCGCAGACACAGAGTCTAGCAGACGGACACACGCACACAAAAGAATTTCTCTGATTCACTTTACCTTGCATAACTACAAACCTGCTGATAAAGCAACGCTGGTGTTACTTTAGGTACTGGCATGCACAGAATTTTGAACAAATTGAATGTGGAAAAAGTCACACCACATCACAGCCATGATGATCCCAGTGCAGATACTATTGCTGTATAATCTGCGGGGAAATCGTCCATTCAGTTCATCCGTTTTGTGCAGCAATAAAGCCGTTTAATATTGAAGTTTGAAACGCATGCGCACCTTAAGCGTAGGCGGCGTTTTCACACTGGCCTGACAGTGCAGCGTTTGAGAAAGCCGATCTCCTCAACCTGGCGACACATTCTGCTGACTCCGCATGTCTGTACAGTTGTAAGCTAGTTTACATGGTTTTTCTGCTGCCAAACACAGATTTGTGTAACAATCAAATATACTGGAAGACCAAAAAATTATTACAAATATATTAAATAAATGTAATATATTTTATATATTCAATATATATTAAATATATTTAAAAGAGGAGATGAATTTTAAGCCACCTAACGACAAGTTATTAAAGCCACGGTGGTGAATATGACAAAGTAAAGAACCATAAGAAAAACTTTTAACTTTTTATCCTGGAGGATATTGGCATGCAGCCCGGCATTAAACGCAATCACAAGGCATAAAAAGCATACACACACACACACACACACACAAGATCAAAGAAGAAATAAAGCAATAACCTAGAAAACTATCATCAATATGAAAGTATAAACAAAACAAAGAACTCAAATAAGACCACCAGACAGAAAAAAACTTCCATCTGAATGGAATAAAATAGGGATTAAGTGACCACACGTGATGAAAAGTGACAAATAAAATAGTGTTTATAAGAGGTTGCATCATTCATTAGCTAGTGGTATTAAGGATAATCTAGTGTTGTATACATATGCTTATACATCTCTCTCTTAGTAACTATCATCCTGACTGTATATCGAGTTTAATATTCAAACCCTAAGATATCATTTATGGCTCTACCACTGCATCAAATTGAAACTTCTAGATGTGTTTTGCATGAATCACTTACATATTTTCAGCTCAGTGTTCAAATTCAGAAGCTTTTTAAATCGTGAACCATCGATGAATTTGAAACTTACATAATAAAGGTTTTATTATCAGGCCATATAATCCAGCTCAACAGTTAGTCCTTCTACCGCCTGTATCAGATAGAAGGGATAGCACTTCTTCTTTTATTATCATTAGTCAGGCCTCATGTTGCACAGAAGCAGTTTGAGTAAAGGTTTGGCTGCCTGTTGCATTCAGTTCACTGGGCTGGAGGTGGATCCCCAAAGTGAAGCATTTAGTAAAGATTTGACATTCAAGCACAGTCTCCATTACACATTATCTGGAAATGTCTTTACCTCATAGTAAAGCTATTTACCAAGGTATTAAGTTTCTGTTATTTTGTTGTTTAAAAAAAAAGGGCCTGTTTTGGGTTTTTGGGGGCGAACATTCCTGAGAAATTGGTCACTGAAACACAGCCTGAAATAGAACCACAGACATATTTGCTTTCTATTATGGTTGTTCAGGGTTTCTATAAAAAGCAATGGAATAACTATTGGCTCAGAGGATAAACTTGCTGGCCTGTGAAACATTTTTCTGCATATCTTAATCATGACCATTCATTTTAATTATTATGTATGCACTACAGTACCGACACGGTTTTACCCAGGTTTCCTCTGCATCAAAAGTGAATGTGTACTTCACTGATAGTTTTTAAAAGTATATATCTATGGATCTTTTTTTTTGCAAGAGAGCTGGTACATCAATCAAAACAGTCCTTAGTGTTTGTACATGACTGGTACAGTTCAACAGCTCAAAATGTTTACTTTCCTCAATCATATCAATGCACAAATACAAAAACAGGGATTTATTAAAATTCATAGATGAACCGAAAAATAATTAGACGTCAAAGTGCGACAATGTGTGTGGGTGTGAGGTCTGCAAAGACATGCATGACTGCAAAATGGCTTCGGTCGTGTTTCTAAGCAACGTGCACATCCACTGCTCTTCCCTTTCTTCTCTCATGCCGCCTACGACGGGGCTATTTCAGTGACGACGAGCATTCCACTCCAACAGCATCTATCTCACACCGTTTACAACCCTTACTGGAACAACACTGGTTTCGACTGCTAAACACCCGGTAAAGGTGAGGCATGTTACGCTCTGAGGGGGGGGGGAACTACCGTGACCTTGCTGCCCAATTCTGGACTCAACATTTTCTAGAACAATGGACGCTATTGTACTCCCCCACATAGCCGACTGAATTTGCAATAACTTACTAATATAGCAGATCCATGTAAAATGGCAGGCTGTTAAAGATTAAATCAGACACTTATTTGCGTCTGTATTCCTTATAAAGAGTTTTAAATCTGCATTTGAATGTTCCTCGTGATGATCTCTTCAAAAGCAGAGGTATTGCTCTCCACACATCCATGCACTAAGTTATGCATTGCAGTATATTGTGGCTATAATTGAGTAAAAGCAGGGATGTAGTCCACCTAATTGTTCCTCTGTTGGACGGCATCTCTCTCAACAGAGCTCACCCTCCTGCCCTGCCACACACTCCTAATCTCATGGAAGCTGCCCACATAAACCAACTATCTCATTTAGTTGGCATTCTTCTCTCCATTCGCCAACTTCTCTACTTCTGATACTCCCTCATCCCATAAAATGCATCCCATTCATCCCCAACCCTCCAGCTTTTTCCTGTCTGGCGTTTGGCTCTGTGTCATTACGGTCACTGTGACAACAGATGAGTCAGACGCCGTGGAGACGCCTCACTTCCTGTGAGCGTAGAGTATCTGAGACTGTGAGCGAATGAATGACTGCACCAATACTGAGAAAGTCCTCCCTAAAGACTGATTCATAGTCCGCAGGATCAACTCCTCATCTGGAGTCAAAGTATCTCGGGATATTTGTGGTCTTTGTAGGAAAGATTGCATCACATGTGGATCACCTTCCAGAGTGACTCAACGCGTCTGTATAAAAGGTCTGTGTTATGTCGCAGACACCATTGATCATGGTTTCTCATGCTCATGGTCCCGTTTTTAGGTCCTACAATTCTCATGACACCCGCAATCAGACCTGACAAGTTGTCGTGTTTAATTGAGCAAGGCATACTTTTTTTCTGTTTACAAGAGCCCGGAGGAAGCTCTAAATGGATTACACAGACGTTGTGATTAAAATCTATTTCTTCTATTTTTTCTCCAGCTTATTTATTTTTTCATAACAAAATATCAGCAAGCAGTAAAGGGTTGCTGCTGACCCAAGGTTGAGGAAATCTGCCATAAATCATCCGCAACTGCTCAAGGCATAAATACACAGACACTGACTCAGCCATGCAGACACACACATGTGCACACATGGTTGCATGAACAAGTGTTGCAGTACTTACATCGGTTTTTCTAAACTTTGCTTTGAGGCTCTTCATGTTCAGTCCGGTCCATGCAGTCACACGCTCAATCACTCAGTCAAGGCTGTGAAGAAGAAAAAAAGGCAGATGTTTAAACTCAACCTCAGTGATGCTTACCTCCATTCCACATGGGATTTTTGTGTTTCTGGAAGACTAAACTACATAATTTATGTGACACTATATCCACACAGGTTACACTCAATATGAGGTGCAAATGTGCAGCGCAGCAGCAGAGATTTACCGTGGCAGTCGTCTACAGCCTTAATAAATCACAACAGTTTGACACTGTCAAAAGCAAATGTGTACAACGTTTTCATAATGAATTTGATGGTCGCAGCCCTCTGTATTCGATCTGTAACGAATCTGAAGCACTTTTACATTCAATGATTACTTTCCCATCAATGAGTAGTTTCAGGGAATAGACTTTGCGCAACACATGCAATTCTAATTTAAACCTGTTGTTGGAAATTATATCCGGCTCTGTATTGTTTCCTATAAGGATGTTTTAAATCACCACAAACCCCTTGGGGATGTCTGGTGACTGTATTTTTGCACCTTAACTGGCTCTAGCAGTTTCCAATGTTTCATGCCTGAAATGACTCATTGGTAGTCATTGGTAGTGATTTACTCCCAAAATATCAAAAGAGCATTCCAGGCAAGATTAGTCTACTCACTCACTTCATTTATATTATTATTATTTCCAGGTCCCTCTGTGTCTGCTTGTATTTCAACTAAAGAGAACCATGCAAGCAACTTGAGCCTCTTTGCAATGAAAGCTGGCAGTTAGGTCCTGAAGGAATAATATTTTTAAAAAAAATGTCTGCATTTATAAATGTTTTTTGCAGACAAAAAGCATACATTAGAAAGTTATTCCGATGTCAAAGAGTCTTTAGATGGGCAGACAATGTGTTCTTTGGTTTTGTTGTAGGTGCTTGCATCGAGGACAGCCACGTCTCGGCTCCTCTGGCAGCATTCAAGCCAACGAGGTTAACATACCTTTGCCTACCGCATGCAAATCTTCATGTTGTGTAAAATACCAGCAGCCCACTAATGGCGAATGGGCTGAAAACAGCAATTAAGAAGTGGTGGTGGATTGCGAACGTATTATATGTCAAACAAGTCAAGATGTCAAACAAATGTGTTGTCTCACGGTTAGAATGCAAACTCAAGTTAACTACTGAATCAATTGTTAAACTTTCTACTGGGCCACGAATTAAAAACTTTATCAGCACAGTTTATCAAGTAGCTTTCTTGCGCATATTTGCATACTGCGCCTCAAACAATGGAAGTTATGTGATTGCATGCAGAAACATGGGTATGAGGCTGCAACTCGTTTAGCACAAAAAGTATCAAATGCGCGCGACGTGCGTCATTGTGCACAAACAATCGGATTGGGCAATTTGTAACAGGAGCTTTACGCGTTTAATTTACAACCGAGATTTACAATCAGTTAGTTGCGAGGCTTTTAAAAAAACGATCATCGGTTCGACCAACAAGTAAATGTTACTTACATGATATGAAATCACTGGACACACTTACCCAGTTATGAGTCGCAGGAGGGCTGGACACATAAAAAAAAAAAAACTGTTTTGTGCCAAAAACAGAGTAGCTACGGAACCGGTGAGAAATGAACGAGCCGTTGTTGTCGAGCAGGCGGATGCATAAAGGAGTAGAAAACAGTGCGCTCCGACACACTGGCCCGGATCGGCCCGCATACATTAACAGTTGTTCACTTACTCCTGCCTGTCTCTCGCTCGCTCGGGACTCTACTCAAAAAGCTGTTGCCCGGTTTAGGAAAGTGACGTCACCCAGTGCTCTCGTGACCGCGGCAAGCGAGCGAACGAGCACTCTTCTTCTCTCCATTGTGCTCCATTCACGTTCTGGTTAAGGGGGAAGGTATTTCCCACACAGCTCACACAGCTAGAATACAGTGAAGGTGAATATAATAAAACACGTCTTGTTCTTTTGCTGACATAACTTTTTTGTTTATTAACCACTGTGCATATGTTTCAGATTGTTAACCAGACCCCTGAACTCCCATGACCAACTAACATCAAACTTATTAAGCTCCCAAACGTTGGATCATATATGTCCCATAATGCAGCTCTCCTGTGGATCCATAGAGGACTCAGCTTTTGTTTTTACCGGCTATGTAGCAGCCTACACACAGTGTGTGAACTAGTCTTTACGTGTAAGACCTGAGTGCATCATCTCTAAGGTTGAGAAACAAGTCGATTTGATGATATGTCGCAACAGCAATGCAATACAACTTATTAAAGCAGGTAAGGACGTGTCTGGGCTGTATGGTTGTGCTGTTGATGTTCGGGATAATGCTACTGGTCTATCCCTTCTGTCTGTGTGTCTGGTATAATAAACAAAAAATATTCAAAGCAAGTATTCAAATCTTTTGATTTACACCCGATGTCTATTTCAGTATATACCATTTATATAACTGTCTGTGGTGGTCTATTCGGGTTGTCCTATCTGAATATATTTCCTAAATAAGTATGAACAGTAATTTGAAATTATGTAATTTTGATATCTATGTTTAAATAATCAGAGAAACGAAAAAAAAATTAGCTCTAAGGTTAGTCTGCTAAACCAAGGTGTGGCCCCCTTTATACACAATTTTGACTCAACAGGTATGACTCCAGTTCATAGACCAACAAAGAATGTTTGCAGTGGCATGAAGTTTTAGTAGACATGTCAGGACAGTGGCATCTAGTGGAGAATCTATTTACTACATTGTTGTTCTGTATTATGAATAATAATAAAGTGAACGTTAAAAGTGTCACACAAGCCGCACAAACAAAGGCTATTTTCACAGGCCTTTATATATTCATGTATACATGTATCAAAATGTATCAAAATGTGTCAAAATGACCTAGAAAATACTGAGATTTAATGAAAGACGTCATTGTCATGCGATTAAAAACAAAGAGTATTTATCTGCAAGATAGAGCTTTCCCCCACAGTTGGCCTTCAACAACCCGCTAATGTGGGAGGGGGAACAATTGAGTCTCCCATCTTATGGATGTTCATGCACGGTCTCACTTTAACATTTTCAAAGACAATTTGCGTTAAATTGGCATTTCTAAAAAAAAATCACCGAAGTGCATTCTTCACGGCTGCGTGCTCCGGGAAGCCGTCGACTGTCGAAGAAAGCGGAAGTGGTGATAGGGAGAAATTTCATTGCGGATGTGGTGTCCTTTGCTCCACTGAGAAGGGTGCTGGGCCATCAAAACAAAAACAGGAGTCACACACAGGCAGTAGCTGGAGTCACTGAGAGCTACTGCCAGCAGATATCAGTCTGCTGTGTCACCATGCTACTGAAATCATGTTGCATCTACAGCGTCGGAGTTGTTGCTGTTCTTCTTCTCATCTCGGGGATTTCTTTGGTCTTGTCTAACGTGTTTCCACGTCTCCTACAGTCGGTGGTTGAAAAGGTGAACAACTGATTTTGGATCACGGTTTATAACGTTAGATAATCGCATAAACATCAAACACAGGCTGCTTAGTTTCGATTTCGCCTCTGAGTTTCACAATGGGAGTAGTGGTCGGAAAGCTTTAACTCTTGGTCTTTAACTGACTTATAACGTTTAATGTTTTACGAATGACTTAGATTTAGGAATGCTATTTCAAAAGACATGTTGTAGCTTCTGCCAATACTGTAATAGACGACTATTAAGCCATGAACTAGGCTGACCTTATGTCTGTAGCTGTTTGGGGCGTGGTGGGGGGTAGCCTTTAGTATCATATCAGTTTGGTTTAAACTTAAAAATGTATCTGATCTGATGATTATTTTGTATTTTCACTAGCATTCACATCATTACTATAAGGTTTTACATATTCAAATCTGACGTTAACCCTTGTATGTACTTGGCAAGTTGTTATAGTCTATTCCTGCTTTGTGGCATCATCACCTCTTTGGCCTCATTTAATGTGAATTAAATGCTCTATCATCCAAATGGTGATGTCAGGACTTGCAGCGGCGTTTGTCATATGATGTGAGGACAGCTTAGTCAGCAGGAAACTATTTGTCTGAAGTTGCACATCTTTCTCGCAGTAAAAGTAACTCACTGCTTTGTCCTCCGTAGGAAGTCGTTTTGAAGAATGGCACGGAGGCGTTCGAGGCCTGGGAGAATCCGCCGGCACCTATTTACATGCAGTTTTACTTCTTTAATCTGACCAACCCCCTGGAGGTGCTGGATGGGGATAGGCCTGCTGTGGTGGAGATTGGTCCATACACCTACAGGTGAGTGAGGGAAAGGATAAAGGCCTCCTGAAAGACGGGGATGCAAACACCTTTGCAATCAAGATTCCTCCTAAACTATCATACATGACTATAGTTAAACAGCAGAAGCCAAGTCAATTCAGTAAAACATTTCAAAACCAACTTACCAGCTGATTATAGATCATACAATGGAAACAAAGTCTGTCGTCTTTCAAGGGACAAAGGGGCCAAATAGCTGATGATGAGATTAACTGGAACACAGAAGAAAGGAGACAAAGATACACGGCAGGGTTGAACATGACGGCAAAAAATACATTAGCAATACATTATATACTATAATACAAAGTGTAAGTATATACAGTAAGTCTACAAAGCAAAGCAAACATTTCCTGAATACCATTCAACATCAAACTATTTGAATAATTCTTGACTTGAATGACTGATGGCCACACCCTGAAGGTGTCGAATGAATTACAGCAAGACGTTTTTTACGATGGTAAATTTAGATTTACATAAATGGTGTGACTGACTACCGTGCATCATTTGGGAAATCCTCCCTTTCACTCCGACAGTTTGTGCTTTCAGTAAGACAAAGTCCGTACTGTAAATACTTGACAAAATATAACTTCTGCCATTGTCGTCAGAAATGGCTGTGACTGAAGCAGAAAGATATTTGTGCGGCCTCGTCTGTGGCTAGCTTGAGGCAGCTCGTTCGCCTCTCGTCACAGACAGACACAGTAGCTTTGTACAGATATCAAATTGTCCAGCTGAGAAATAAGAGTTGCATCACCGAGATATTTATCATTTCCTTTCCTTCTTTTCTGCCAAAAAGCGTCTTACTGTGCCAAAAAGGCAATTCTTTAACATCATGGTAACTATTATTTGCCCATCCATTACCCAAAATAACCCTGTGATCTTTTTACACACCTGTAGAATTAAATCAATAAAGGAAATTACTTTAAATGAAACCCTGATTCATGCTACATTTAAGTAACATTTAAATATGATTTTCAATGCAGAACTTTATAATTATTTAACAATAGTCATTTCTCTGCAGTCTGAGATGCAGATGCAGCATGTTTAGTAAATGTGAGATTCTTGGCCAACTATTTAAGGTTTTTATTTCTATTTCTTAATATATTTGGCTGCAGCACTGTAACAAAGGACTCTAAAGAGTTATTTCCACACTAACCCAGTTGTTATATTTTCCTGCACAGAGAGTACCGGCCCATGGAGCAAGTGGACTTCCAGGATAACGGCACTAAAGTCGCCGCTGTCAACATGAAGACCTACATATTTCAGCGCAACATGTCCCGAGGTCCGGAGAGTGAACTCATCAGGACGGTCAACATCCCCGCAATGGTGAGCCACAGGAATCTATCAACTGCTGGAGTTGTTTGATAATACTTTATTATTGTGTCACAGTAGTATTATTTTCTAGTTTATTGATTTTATTGGCAGCAACACACAAACAAGGAAGTTGTGTTGTATTCATAGTATTTAGTATTTCATAATATTTTAAGGTAAGATATGAACGATCAATAGATAAATATGTCTTCCATGTAACTAAAAGGAGTAACATTACTTTTGAAACAATTAATAAATACTTTACGCAGTGGAGTAACAACACAGTCACAGGTTAAAGCTATTTATTGCATAATATACAATAAATCACTGACTCTAAGGCCCAAAATCTTACGGGATTATTTTGGTAGCCACAAAAGAGTAAACATTTTGTTCAAAACTGTTATTATGTTTATGATGTTTAGAATTCATAAGATTTATAATAAGATCTTATTTTGTTCCCTCCAGCTTTAACATTTATTTTTGCGTTAATAGATGTGATTTTTCTTTTACGGTTAGAAAAATATAGTGAATGATTCATTGTACCACTGAGACTGATAATATGCAATGTTGTGCTACTGTAAGGTGAACACTCGTAAAGATTAAAAACATTTTATTTCAGTAAATGATTTATTCCATTACATAGTCGTCTTCAAGGAACTTGTGCAACTTAGCTTTTTACACAACAGGTTGTCTTCCCTTTCTTTTTCCTGGTAGACGGTGATGGAGAAATTCAAGGACCATGCGTTCATAGCCAATATTATATCCTCCTACATGTCGGGCACCGGTGTAGGCCTGTTCACCACCCACACAGTGGGAGAGCTACTGTGGGGATATGAAGACGGCCTGCTCAAAACTCTCAAAGCTCTACAATCTGACCTGGATGATGTTTTCGGACTCTTCTATAAGGTTTTATTCAAGCATATGAATACATCATTATACATTTTGTTCAGACTGGAGTGTTTATTCATAAAGACTTAGAATAAAACTTCACGTTTCTTGCATGCGAGTTTGTTGAACAGCTGTTCATTCCCCCCCCCCCCGTACAGAGCAATGCTTCCAACGATGGTGAATACGTCTTCTTCACCGGTCAGCAAGACTACAAGGACTTTGCCAGAGTGGATACGTGGAACGGTGAAAGGTAATTGTCTCCACTCACCTGCAGCAAAAGAAATGACAGTGAATGAATGAGAATTATCTCTGGCTCTGTAAAGCCAATCAGTGAGAAACATTGACTACATGTTTCGATGGATGAGCGATTGTATCAGTACCACAAAGGCATGTGATCAATGCTTGTTTGATAACATTAAGGGGTTTTTCCTGCCATTGTCATATCACAGTCCATGTGTGTCTTTCATCGGAGTTAATGAGTTCAAAAAGCTACACCAATGTTAATCCTCTCTTTTACACTTTTCTTTCACTTTTGTCGTTGTTTTAAAAGTGAAAGAAAAGTGTTGTGTCTGTCAGTGAGGTATCACAATGATCTTCCATTATTCTCTCTCTTGCAAAGATTTGGATGACAGGATCAATGGCACTCTCTTATCTGTCAGTTGAATACAAAGCGTTTATCATCTGTTTAAAACATTTAAAAATACTTTTAAACTTTTCTAACTATTTGGTTCGTAGTCCTTCAATGAAACGGAATGAATGATACAAAATGTATTATTGTTTTTTGTGTGTATGCGTGCAGCACGATGAGTTGGTGGACATCTGATGAGTGCAATATGATCAATGGAACCAATGGAGCCTCTTTCCACCCAGTCATCACCAAGAATGAGACTCTCTACATGTTCGCCTCTGACCTGTGCAGGTGAGTAGACTGGCTGCTCGAAAATCATATCCCAAAACTCCAAAAATTTGGCATGCATATCAGGACTGGTGAAAAATGTGATATTTTATGGGTCCCATGCTCGAGTATGACATAATTGCTCGCTAGCGCCCCCTAAAAGTTGGAAAGGCAAGCCAGTGGCCAGTTATCAAAAGCGTCACGTTTGATGGAACGGCGTAGCCGCGGCGTGGCAGCCAATTGATTTACGTGACTCCCCGTTAAACAACAAGCTGATGTTACTCCACTGGACTTGCTCAAATCCGTCCCAAACTTGCCATGCTTGATAAAAGTCACGGTCTGAAGATGTCAACAAGCTCATTTTCACTCATTTCCACCTATTGGCCAAAGGAAATCCGCGTTTTGTAACAAACGGCATCCGATTTACATGACGTGTACATGATGTGGTTGACACTTGATATAGAGCAACATAATGCATGTTTGCACCACACAGTGGATACAAGAACTGGTGGAATATTTGCAGTACAAAATTTCCCAGCGTCACACACTCCACGCTGTCCGATGGTCACAGAAATTGTCTCGGCGTCCCGCCAGTACCTCCGACGAGGGCCCGTAATTTTGTTTGGTTACTTATTGAGCACAGCTGACCTTTTCAGCTTTAGGTGCTATATGAAAGATTTAAATTAGATGTGATTTTCTGCTTATTCTTTTTCTGGTCTTATCTGCCTGGCTTGAGTTGGCTTGTGTAATGGCTCCCCCCTCAGTCTTCCTAAGCCTTTCCCTCAGCATTATTCATGTCTGGGTATGGGATTACCAATTCAGCCGGGCTGGTTGCATGGTTGATCAGTGTTGGCCTCTTTAATGAGGTCACTGTTAGCGAACTATTTATTTAGTGCTGCTTAAAACAACTAATATCAGCTTCTCTCATATCAGAACTGAGAGTCCATCACATGCAGGTAAACTAACTGACAGACAGCCAAGGTTTATAAGGTGGTAACATGTTAGACCAGCACAACCTTTTAAACTCTTTGGTAAAACCTCTTTGTGCTGTGCGGGTTTTCAGTAAATCAGCTTAATACATAGCTCGTGTACAAAATGCGTGCAAAACCCCCTCTCCTTTGTTGCACTTCCAGCCTTACAGAACTTATTTGTGCCTGCAAAGATTAACCAGCATCTGTCTCTGTTTGCAAGGTCTCTGTACACTCTGTATGAGGAGGACGTGACGGTAAAGGGGATCCCCGGGTATCGCTTCAGTCCCCCAAGCGAGGTTTTCGCCAATAAGACCGTGAACCCGGCCAACGCAGGCTTCTGTGTCCCCGCTGACAATTGCCTGGGCTCTGGCGTGCTGAATGTCAGCCCATGTAAACAAGGTAGGAAGTGCATTAAGCAGCTGTTCTGTATGAAAAGCCAGAAGAACATTTCGTCGTGTCACTCAGGGACCTGTTCTTTAGAACGCTGTTTCATCACGTTGTTGTCCTGAATGGGCTCTGCTCAGTATCCTTCACAATGGTTTTCTAACTGAATCTTTTGTGTGTTTAGGAGCTCCCATCATCATGTCTTCACCACACTTCTACCAGGCAGATGAGAGATACATTCAGGGTGTATTCGGCATGAGGCCTCAGAAGGAGGAGCATCAGACTGCGATTGATATCAATCCGGTAGGACTTTCAACTTTAATGCTTAAAAAATACATGTTTCAAGACATATAAAAGTATTTTTGGAATAATAATGTAATGTGATGTAATTTGTGTACACCTTGTTTTGAGCCTTTCTTTACTTTATACCGTCATGTTCCATGGAGAATCTGATATGTACAGCTCAAACTTTCAAAGACAGTGACATTCATGTTTCCCACTAGATGGGGAACTAGCTCAGCTTTGTGCCTGCGAGCCCACGGTGACCTTAATAAGAAGCAGTGGTAAACAGTAGTTAAAGATTAAAGCAGACATGGAACGGAGCTGTCACCAAAGATAAACTCCAACAGCTCATATCATGCGTAATACTGTAATAATTTGATTGAGCCTGTGATAAATATACAATAGAGAGAAGCAGATTAAAGTTTATATCCTGCATATATAAACTGCCATCATGATGTAGTATGTTTGAGTTAAGAAATGCAGAGCCGTATAATGTGATGCATCACATACCTTAGTGCAACATTTATATGTTGTCTTACAGTGTTTTTGAAATACAATCCAAGATGAAAACAATGAAAGATGTACAGTAATTGAGTATTATGTCAAAGAATGGGTTTTTATGGTTAATAAATTGGTCATAGTGATTAACTCTTGCTATAACAACTTTTTTCTGTTAATAGTTAATATTTTCTGTCAATATGACACCAGTTGGACTCCTGCAGGGAAGCAAACAGACTGCTAAGACGTAAAAAAGTCTAAAAAAAATGGATTGTGATGTACGATTATGAATTATGATTATGACCGTGAAATATTTAAGTCAAAGGTTGTTGACGAAAATATGTGAAGAAGAACAATTAGTCACTTTGCCTCATCCAGCATGCAATTGTTCATGTACACTTTGCTACGGTGGAGGCATCGTAAGTTAAAAGTCTTTGAACCCAGTGAACAAGCTTTTGTTTGGACTGTTCTGTTACCTCATGGGTAGAGCAAACCACCTCCGCTGCCAGCGTCAGGGCTTTGATTTTTAATTCAGATGTAAGCAGACACATCTCTGTTACACGATTTGCACAGAGATTTTGAGCATAATACACACTGTCTTGGCAACATGTGATATTGGTGCAAAATATGCTCTAATGAGGCATAAATGTTCATACATCACGGTGTATAAATCTGCACACAGATCAGTGCTGTTAAGTTTTTCCCTCAAACAAAGTTTCATTCTGTTTTTGCAGCTAACAGGAATCATCCTACAGGCAGCAAAGCGGCTCCAGGTCAACGTGTTTGTCGAGAAGATCCCCACCTTCAGGTACTTGGCTCATTCCCTTCACACGTCTCTTGTTATTGCACCTGTTGGCATCAACCCCACTGTCGGCATGTTGGCTTAAATTAAACTGTCTTAGTCTAGGAAGGGTTGCCAACGAGGTGACTGTAAAGCAATCATGCCACCATCACCCATACGAGTGGACTTTTGGACAGTCGTGGCTCACTTGTTGTTCATCTACTTGGCATCCGAAGGAGCAAACGATCTCGATATAATCTTGAGATCAGACGTAACCGATGAACATGTTGTCAAACTTTATGCAGACAAGTTAAACGTAAGCTTCACGTGAACCGCATGCCCAGAAATGTAGTCGTTGGAGGACGTTAACAGTTGTCTGAATGTCTCTTTGCCATTTATACATTTAAACATAGGTGAATTTTTCTGATTATTAATACAGATAACGCATGCAAAATGATGATAGTGGGTAAAACATTGTGATACAATCATTTTCTTTTTCTTTCAGACAAACAGGAAATGTGCGGACAGTGACTTTTCCTGTGGTTTATCTCAATGAGGTACAAACACACCAATTTGTCATTCAGTCATAAATTATATACATGAAATGGCAGTATGTGTATCTACCACTGGCACTTGTGCTGAACCTCTACTCTCACCCTCCTGTGATCTTCTTAGAGCGTCGTCATCGATGACGCGTCGGCCATGAAGCTGCAGAAGATTCTTGTCAAGCAGAACGTCGTGGTGAACATTCCGTTCATGTTCATCGGTCTCGGCATCATTCTGGGAGGAGTCTTCATGTTCCTGATGTGTCGACAGAAGGTCCCCGTGGTGAGTGTTTCAGATGGACATCGATGGGTTTGTGAGGTCGTTAGAGCTGCAGTTACTTTCATTATCGATCAATCTGTTGATTATGTGTCTCTTGAACAGATTCATTCTTTAGTCCATGGAATGTCAAAACAAATTGCTTTGTCTTGACTAACAGTACAAAACCAAAAGATATTGAAGTTTAAAAATATAAAACACAGGAAAACTATTTGCTTCTGCTCGATTAGAGTACCGTAAAGATAAGCCCGTTTTCAGAATTGTTGTTAATTCACTATTGATTGATCGATTCAATTAAATAATCATTTTAACTCTAGTGGGCATGTAGAAAAAAAGCATTAAAAATGTAAAACATTTCTTTAAATTATCATTAGATAATGTTATAGTGGAAATGGTCAATGTTACATATGTATTATTGTACATTAAATATGTTAGATATCTGTATGTACAGTATGTTAATTAATATATATGTTTTTCCACAATCTCCTAAATGAACGTGTTTGTGTCTGGTTTCATTTTTCAGAGCACTGCAGCAGAGCGAGAGCCCCTGCTCTCGTCATAGTAGTCAGCAGCATGTAAAAAGAAGGAGGGTTGCCATATTTGCAGTAGAATTTCACATTTCATGGGTTCAGTGGATCGGCCATTTTTGCCATTAACACCCAAGTAATAGTTCCCATTATAATTCACAATTCCACATTTTAATCTGGTGTTTTTAATCCAGCGGTTTTAGGAAACAAAGTGAAGGTTTGTTACAGGGATGGGGTTAATGTTTTCCTTACAATACAGTTGTAATGATCATGAAAATACCCCCTTTTTAAAATTAAATCTTAAATATATTTTTTTTATAATTTATTGGATTTTGGATTGAAACGTGAATTGAGTAGATTAAGTGTGTGCGTGTGCATGTGCATGTGCATGTGTGTGTGTGTGTGTGTGCGTGTGTGCGTGTGTGTGTGAGAGAGAGAGAGAGACCACAAGATGAATGGCTATAGAACTGAAATAGTGACGAAGGAATATTTTCAGCGTGTTTTTTTTAAATGGGCCAGTAATCAGTTTTTAGCACGGTCTGGTGAGATTGTTGATGCATCAATAAGGAGAAAGTTTATACAGCTGTTCAATGCAGGAGAAATATCCTTTCCCTCTTCACGTCAACAATTCACATTTTTGTATTGTTCGCAAAACACGAGCAAAGTGTAAGCTGTGCAAAACAACTGCATAATCCACAACATATAAATGGCATAATATGGAATCACATCCAAAAGTATTAAACAATATCAGTATAAAGAGAACAGTTTTATTTGGTGCACTGTACGATATCTTCTTTTCCCTAATTCCAATACTTTGCCATAAATGTGTGATTTAGAGTTTTACTATTAATATTATCCTGAAATCTCATGTTAGTGACACTACTGTTGTCAAATATGTTGACAAACAGAAAATGTTGTTTTTCCTTTTAACCACTAGGAAATGTTCATGATTTGTATGGTTAAATGCTGCACTGCTTAACAGCCTTGTATCCAATTATTGTAACTTTATTGTAAGTTTTTTTTCTAATTTCCATCATTGCTGATTAGATTAAAATGAAATAGATTGTTGTTGTCCAGAACTACATAGAGTGTGACTACAAATCACTATTTCACACTCCTCACTGACAGGTCGCCTTTTGTTCCCTTTGTTTTGGTCTTTGTTAATGTGCAACAGAGATTATTGTTTACAATACTACTCCTACATAGTAAAATCAATATGTAACTACTGTTTACGTACTCTCAATAGGTCACATATAACAATGTGCACATTGTCTTGCCACTTGCTACAACTTTAATAAACTTGGTGTGCTTCACATTATCTGAGGGTGTGTTTTCTATTTCCTCCTTCACAAATTGCCAAATGTTTTGATAAAGGGTTGAATAGTTTGTATAAAGTCCACCAGTAAATCATGAATCGCCTTATGACTAACTTCAGGGGCTGGTCCAACAAAAATGACACACACACACACACACACAGAGGTGTGTGTCAACAGATGAATCATTATAACTAATAGTTGTACAGTCATACATCTATTAACCTGATATGTAAATAATGACTTTTTGTTAACATTTTTAAGGGTGGTAGCGTTTTAAACTCAATTACCATAAAATGTTCCTCTGTGAAATTATAACTCTTACTGGAGCCTACTCCAACAATTTAGCGTTGCACACACTCATTTTACTTTTTCATTCCATGTGAACACCTGCTGCGTACATTACCCACAATGCAAGTCTACCGCCAACTGGTTGGTAATCATTCTTTATAATGTATGATATGTGTTATGCTAGTAGCTGCTAGCCTCAAGCAGAGGAGCGGGCTCAACTCTTACTAACTCCACGCCAAGACATATTTCCAGCAGTAACTCCACATAAAATAACAATTGGTGTTTTCATAGAAATATCACGTTCATTAGCGAGCTTTAGACATTGGGGTTCGGTGTATTTTTTCACTTTGAACAGAGGAAGTCTTTATGCTGAGCTAAGCTACCTGTCTGGTATCAGTCTTGGCAAGAAAGCAAATAAGCATATTTCCTTTAAGGATGTTCGCTCTTTCACAGCATCGCATTCAAAACATTTAACTTACTTTGGCAAACTTTGCTCACTTTCATCTGCCAAAATATCTCAGCCATTCTCAGGTTCCAAACCAACCGAGGACTGTCGGCCCACAAGAGTTTGCATCTATAAGATTAGTGATAAGCAGTCACATTATGTGGAATCCTCAGGTTCCACATAATTTCCTTCACTTTCCTCCCACAATCCAAAACCATGCAGCTCAGATGAATTGGAGACTGCAGGGGTGATGTAAATTGGTGCATGGATACATTTCTACAGTCCATGATACATGTTAAGGTTTCAGTTAGATACCTCCGACGTGGAATTGTCCTCAATTACAGGGTTAAAGTGTACTTTGACTCCCTGCAGATAAACTCTGACTTCGGCTGCCATTATAAAACTGATAAGTAGCAGTTTGCAATGTTGGTTCTGACTTGAGATCAGCTTCTCTGCCAAACCTCAGCCTCAGTCATTAAAGTAGCAAATTGGAGAATTAATCTTTCATATCAGTGAAAGGCTAACTCCTCCCCAACCCAATTAAAGCCTTTAATACAAGTGCCGATGGGACAACGCAGCAGCTCCACTACAGAACTGCTTCTCTCTTGAACTTGATCTGCAAACATGAAGACTCTTCAGGAAAAAATCATCGTTCTATCAGTTTTTCTGACTCTGACCTGTGTCATTCAGGTGAGTTAATAACCCTTCCGTTACTGTACATGTCCTGAGAGTTAGCTTTGTCTTGTTTGTGCTAACAGAGAACATAACATCATTTGATTTTTGTTGGAATTAGTTTTTTATCACCATACATCTTGAGGGTGATCACCGTTCTTAAGGGAATCTTGTATTTGTATTTACAGGTCGATTCCCTGCCAGTTCCTGCAGAATGGAGTGGTTTGATCCAGCGGACCAAACGGTCACTCCTGTGGCGCTGGAACAGCATGAAGCCTGTGGGGGCCAGCTGCAGGGATCAGCTAGAGTGTGCCACAAGCTACTGCAGGTAACAGCTGAGCTTCTCAGACATGTTGAAACCTATGTAAGCTGACATTTCACACATTTAGGAAACATTTCCAGCCTACATTCACAGATACACGAATTATGTGTTTCTCATCAATTAAATTTATTACTGCAGGGGCTTTTTATATTCATGTCTGTATTTTTTTTAAATGTTTCATCATTAGTGTAAAACAAGATATGTTGCTTTTTCGAATGGCACCTCATGATATTAAATAAACATAATTTTCCTCTGCGTGGTTTTCAAAGACTCTATGCAATACTATCTCTGTACTGTGTTTGTGTAGTGTGTGAAGTTTTGTCCACGTGCATTTTGCATGGCGTGGACAAAGTCATGAAGTAATGACACGGCAATAAAGTTGCTCTTTATCTTTCCAGGAAAAATGTGTGCTCCTTCTGGAACTCCACCTGAACAGGATACACAAACAAAATGCCATCAGGATGACAAGACATTAATCTACAGTACCTTATGGACCATGTCTCAAATTGAACCCTGTATAAAGATATTCTGGCTTGAATTCAAGACCTGTCAGCACTTAAATGGACTGAATTGTGCATTCACTTAAAGTAATCTGTTCTTGCACTGCAGCAAAACAAATCTGTAAATGCTGCATTTAGATGAACAAACAAATTCATTTTTATAATTTGAATTTAAAACACTTGCAGGACACCAGACAGGCTGTATTTAGTGTTTTAATATGAAAATATAAATATTCATGCAAAGTTTGTGAGATGCTCTGAGTTTATTGGTTCATGTTATTATCATATATTTATTTGTACATATTGTAAACAATGTAGATATTCAAATATACTTTGTGTTGCCCACATTTTTTTTGTCAACAAGCTCAGAAAAAATTAAAATATTCCTCACACTTCCTTCTACTCTGTTAATGCAATAGAAGAAGATGAAAACTTTGATGTTGGTTGGTAAAAAAAAAAAGAAAATGACCGGGATTTTATTGAAATAAAAAATATTCTTGTATTTTTTCATCCAAGACCATGTGCCACAAGGTGGTGATGCTTGGATTCAGTTCCAATTTGCAGTAATAGTGCCCTGATATCTATCTACTCCTCAAAGCAACATTAATATCAAAAGTTGTCATTGGTGGAAATTTCAAACAGACATCTATTTGAAAGAAAGTTACTTAGTTTTACTTAAGGTAATATATGATGTTATTTTTGTACAGTTCAGCCCATCACATTGACGAGAAACTCTTCGGAAAAAACATAAAGGTGCAATAAAGCAAAATATAGAAAGGGAAGAGTAAATGTATTTTGTATGTAAACTAATTATTTGTATTGCTTTTATACTTTTGGAGATAAATCAAAAATACAAAGTTAATTTCAGATCCATACTCTAATTCTACAACTTATCAGATAAGAAGTATGATAAATAAATATATATTTCAATAAGATACAAAACATATTCCAACTTCCATAAAAAAATGTTATCACGTTATTTACATGTCAGGACAAACTGGGATATCAGAATATGTACGCTACAGTGATGTCACTTCAATGTGTTATATCACCAAAAATACAAAAGAAAAGCAAAAATGGGAATTGAATGTCAGAAATATATCCAAATTACCCATAACAGAACAGGGAAGAAGACTTCTGGCTTTTGAAATATTTCTTCTCGGCATATTTATTACACTCACGAATTTCTACTCATTATTCCGGTTGCTGCTCAAACAGCACAGGTCAACATGATACTAGGATGGGGTGTATGTTACATTATTGCATTGTGCTTGGCCTCTGAGATCAGCACTGTTATGCACACATGCCCAGTCAGCCTGTGATTGGTTGACAGACTTGACCAAATTCATCATGGTATACATCTTCCCCTCAGTAGGTTTCAGCTAATGGCTAACCACAACAACAGTCATCAGGTGCAAATACAAAATGATGCCTTTGTAAAACTTTAACATTTTTTGTCACGCAATAATCACAATTGTCCAGAGCCACAGCTCAGTTGACGTTAGCAGCTGCAACATCTGTCAAGATACAGATGGTGAAGGGGCACGAGTCACAGTTGTCTCCACCCCCTATGCTCCACCCCAAGCCGGGAGCTGTTTCCGCGTGGTCCTAGTGCAAGCAATTTCTTCTTCTTTTTTTCAGAGTGTTAAAAGTGAAGGGTTCCAACATGGCCTTCTTAATAAGTGGTTGAGCGGGATGTCCCTACTGTAACCTATGCATATGACACATATTGAACAACCGTCCTTGAAAATAGTTGCATCAATATCTTAACTCTGACTACTAATTATCGCCACTAGAGGGCAGGCTAACGCAGGTTGGTTTAGCAAGCTGCATGCCACCTTTGCACCTTTGTGATTTCACCTATCGATTCGACCATCAAACTGTAGTATTATATTAAAAAAAACACCACAACACTCATTGTTTAAAATTCTGTAATTGCTTTGTTAGGGGTTACACTGTGGCTTTCCGTCTTATGGCTCTATTGGTAAGACATTCACACAAGAATAGTTCCACAAGCATGCTCAAATTATATGTTACTGATGTGGAGAATAATTATTCCTGCTACATTGTTTTTTTCGATGTAGATGGTTATCTAATTGTAGATAACAAAACGATGAGAAGGTAAGAATGAGATATGTAATACAATGGAAACAAAATCATTATTTAACAGCTCATATTTGTGACTCATCATTATAAACTAAAACGTATTTCCAGGCACTGTACTATCACTAGTTTTAAACAATATAAATGACAGTCGTTAGTGAACTCTTTCCCGGTGTCGTGGATACTTTGAGTGGCAGACACTTCTCCCTCTTCATTGGTTAAGGCCTCCGTGACGGAATGTCTCCGATGAGCTGAGCGGTGCTGAAGCAGCGACGTGGGGTCTGCTGTCTCTGTGCGGACCTCAATGTCGGACCGATTTCATATTACGCTATAATATAGTTATACGTTCCCGGTGTAAGCCACGGATTTTTTTTTTTAAATCACGGATATCAGGTAATAGAGCGGAAAATATTAGCTTTCTTATGCATCTTTAACGTCAGAGGAGCGTCGAGCACTCGCGTGATTTAAAAAAAAAAAAAGATTTGTTTGGTTGCATAATTTTGGATCTAACATATTCTGATCACATGGAGTGAGAGGATGGACATCGCTTTTGATTGAATGCTGTTATCAAGTAGGTGACACTATTAAAAGATATTAGGAGATCTGCTGGTGATGGCGCAAATGCACGAGCGCTTGTCTTCATGCATACTTTGCCTTGAAGTCAATTTCTGTCTTGTGCTGATTTTAATCTTTTGTCTACTTTATTTAGTTAAGTCTGTCTTTGTGTGATAGCGTGTGTGGAAGAGAGGAAGATGGGTTGTTCTTTTGGCATTCATCTCTTGTTGTCTAACATGTCGTCCTACTTCAGTCACTTTGAATATGTCCTTCTCATCATAAAAAAACAACCCATACATAAACACAGGTACATTGCCGTGGTGCATTCCCCATCTGTGAACTTCCTCTTCTCTCTGTCCATACACTGTATGTTTTTACTCTGTAGATGTAGGTCGAACATCACATCTGATCATGTTTAACTGCATGTAATTGAGTTCATACTGAAACTTTTCCTCACATCAATACAGACCAATATGAGCTGTAATGATGTCCTATTATCAGAGAGACATTACTGATAATAATCAGCCTCACCATCCGATTCTATTTCCAAGCACAACAACAACAACAACAGTGGACCTCAGACTCTTTGCTTCCGTAGAACCACACAGTCCCATCCCACATGTGAGATGGCTGACTTGACCTGACAGACATTTCCAGTGAAATGCTTCAGTTAATCACAGCCATCTCAGCGTGCTCCAGTGCCCAGAGGACAGAGCTGCTAGTTCGGGGACCTCCAGCCCTGTGATGGCCTATGCAAGAGTGGTATCTACTTTGCAGGGAAATTGTTACTCCTCTGCAGACAGTCAGTCATACTGGCCTACTTGTGTGGTACTGAACTATTGAACTGTTGAAAATAGACGTTGACAGGATAAATCAAGATTCAACGCAATACGGCTCCTTCAAGTATTATACGTATTACCCCTGTAGGTTACATTAGCAGAGATATTGCTCTTAGTAATCAAACTACAGCATATTGATGTCAAATGATTTTGTCAAAAGTGTTCAGCAGGACTCCACAGAAATGTGTGTTATGTTGTGTATAAAGTCTCTCTGGATGAAAGTAAAAATCAGACAAACATGTAGAGTTACACTGGAGCAGTTGGGGATTCAGTGTATTGCTTAAGGACAAGACACTCACCCCATGATGAAAGGCCTACATGTGCAGCCTCCTGCTTTGATGTGGAGCTACGCAACGAGGTACAATAGCGTGTTTAAAAAAAAAAAAAAAATTACTTAATGGATAGCCACATTTAAATATAAATAATGCAATGTAATTAGATCATATCTAGACTAGATAGACTAGAAATAGTACATATGAAATATATGTGTTTGCCAAAATAGAAGCCTGGCTCTGGTGTTGTAACAGAGTTACAGTATACAGTATATAAAATGATCATATTCTTTTTAACTTTTTTGCTGAAGAAAGGTTCACCAAGTCCCACAGCAAAACCACATCCACTTTTTATGTTGATCAGACTGATATTTCTGCCTATGAGCATATTTTGATGTGTTTACTATTTGTTGCCATGGTATGGATGTTGTTTATTGTAGAAATGTGACGATAAAGAGGATTACCTCGTCTGCAACAGATGTTGTTTGTTTACACACATTATGCTGCAGTCACACACACAGCAATGTTAAGTCTATGAACTGATGGCGGCTTGATGTGTGACATAAAGCCCCTAACAATGTCATAAGACAGTGGATGTTGCAGCTAATATATTGAATTTCTGAACATGATTTTTCGTCTTGTTTAAATTCACAACATAGCACCAAGACTAAGTAACACTGCTGAGGGCAGATATCAGCAAATGGTGTGTGGGTGTATCCTAGCAACATCAATTATTACTGATAACTTAAAAGGATTATTTCAAGAATGAATGTCATCAGTGTTTAAATGTTTCATGTGCTTTTTCTACTTAACAATAGTCCTTATAGTGTGTGTTATATGAAGGGATGATGATCATTATGCTGCATATGTGTAGGTCTGTAAAATCCGGAGCAATGTGTATGAAGTGGAGCACATTGAATTAACTAAACTGAGGTGAAAGTGTATTTAATCTTAGTAGCGCCAGACGAGCATCTCTGCAGTGCAGCTGCCCTAGTTACAGAGCAGCTGAGTAACTGTGAGAGACTGTGGTTGGCCCAGGCAGCGGGAGGAGGAGTTCGTTAATGGTTGACTGAATTATGGAGGGTAGGCTGGGCTGAGGGCCAAAGGCAGACAACACGGTAGGACTTTGACTGTAGGACCAGTGGTATAAAGTGAGGGAGCAGTTTCTAACAGCACTAGCCTGCCGTTTTACTTCATGTTTTCTATCTTTTAATAGTCTTTTGGGTTGCTTTTACTCCAGAATTAAATGAGGTCAGGTCTGTCACAGCATTACAGCTAGGAGGGTCATTGAGTCCAAGAATCAAGAACCAGATCCAGAGGGAGATAAACATAAACGCTTTATATGTAGACACCACCAACAAACATACCAATGTATCCTGATTACATTTACATGCAACATTAAACAGTCTCTCCATGGTCCAAATGTGCGAAACTGAAAACATTTCATCTGAAATTCAGATGGTCCATAATGGTATCTCTGCTCTTATGGCCAGACCTTAGAGAAGTCTTAACTGTCTTTCCATACAGAATTGCTAATAATTATGATTAATATTTAATGTATAGATGCAACAAAAATGCTCAACATGAAGTTTAATACTTCTCTGTTTAACTGTATGATTCCATGAAGAGCTCATGTTGTCTAAAAAGGAAACGTGTTGCGGAACCAAATACTTGTGACTTATTTCATGCATTTTTAAATTCTCATTAGGATAATCTCGTGTTCAATGCATTTTTCAATTACTACTGTGTTGCAGTGGTAGTAATTGATTGTTTCATGTATTTTGTGTGTTCACACATATATTGTAGTCTTGTACGCTTCCCCTTGCATAGTTATGAATATGTTTCTGCACCACTGATAACTCATTAAAAGCCAATTATTCTTATAAGAGCTGCTATTCTATTTTTTTTCTTTCAGGATTTAATTTTAGGAACATGGAGACAGTTTCCATGGATCAGCCTGATCCTGCAGTATGATTGCAGCATCCAGTCTCTCAGGAGACACCCTGATAGCGTGCCACTTCCCTGTGGTTCAGCTTCCCACTTGGCAACTTAATGTCCAAGCCCTGTGCAGTTCGGCCAAGAGACCCGGCCGGCTGTGCTCAGTAGGCCTGACCCGAGCCGTGTCCCTCCCGGAGCGAGACTCGCACAACCAAGAGCATTCCTTCGCCGGTGGTCGAAGACATTTTTCCAGCAGCTACGGTAGTCTCAATGAGGACCGAGCGGAGGAGGAGGGCGGCAGTGACAGCAGCGGGAAGTACGACTCCAACTCATCGCCGGAAGAGTCGAGTTCCCATCTGAAGAAGGAAAGCTCTGGAGCTAGGGACAGTCTGCGGTCACACAACTCATTCCTCGCCAATACAGAGCTAGATGAGGATGAGGAAGATGAAGATAGTGATGGAGATAACCTACACAGGTATCACGAGGACTCATCTTTTGTCTTGCATGGGAATTCCAACTGGCCTCGAAGTAATGGTGCCAGAAATCATACAATGTCCCATGGAAAAATGGACAGTGAATGGGGCAATGAAGGGACCGTGTTGGGTCTGGAGAGTGACCAAGATTGGCTCTCTAACCAGCCTCGCGTGCCGGACTCTCTGCAGACTGAACGCCAGTGCATTCATGTGAGCAGATCTGGCATCACATCGATGGCTTATGGAGAGCAGGACTCAGACAGACTGAAGGATAACATGTCCTGCGGCATCCACAGCCAACACAAATGTTCCCCAGAGTTTTCCAACAGTCACACGGAGTATGTCAGCGACTCTTCCTGCAACAGCTCTGATGGCGTCTTGGTTAACTTCTGCACTATTTATAACAGGAGCAACAACCCTGCCACGCCTAATGACCTTAGCAGTCCTGCAGTTCACCCCTATCAGTCATCGGAGGGATCTGTGTTCCTCAACCTCCAACCCGTTCCTCAGACTCCTGTTGAGAACCTCCAACGTGATGACATGGCAGTTAACTCTCCCTCTAAAGAGGAGGTTGACATGACGCCCCCTGCTTCCTGCTGGTCTCCACAGGGCCTTGACTCTAACTGCAATCTTTATTCCCTGGAGCCGCTGCCCCCAGGTCTCTCCTCGCTGGAGGTGTCAGACCTGGCCGCTTGTCTCCAAAGCCAGGCCACACTGGCCATGGAGACCAACCAGAAGTACTACAAGCTTGTGACTTGTGACCTCTCCTCCCAGTCGCCCAGTCCAGCCTGGTCGAGCCTCACCAGCTGCCCCGATGGTCAGAGCAGAAGTAGCCCCTTCCCTCCCTCTGGGCACCTCTTTGTTGATCATAAGAAAAAAGGACAAGACAAAGAAGTCAAGAAGGTAATGTCACAATAAAACAGCTCCTAGATGATATGGGTATGCTTACTATTTAAATAATAAAGTTGCCACTCTTCAATGGCAACCATGTATCTCCAAATGTGGTGATATTTCATTTTTTATTAAAAACTTTTTGAGCGATACATAGTTTAAAAACCCTAATAGATTATCTGAATCATGCATTAAATCTGTAAATAGGCAGTGTTTTGTTGATACAGGGGTTTAACGGAAAAAAGAAAAAGAACACAATTAAATAAAATATTCTATAATGATTCTTATTTTATCTTATCTTATCTTGTGTAAAAATAAATGTGTGATTTGGCTGTTTATATATAAGCAGTTCTTTCTCTTCTGTACCACCATCAGGAGAAGGAAAAGAGGTTCTCCTCCGCCCAATGCAGCGCCGGGTTTGACTGCTCTCAGTGTCAGACCTATGATTATCAAGTTGCCACCACCTCCACTGAGAAAACCCTCTGCAAGAAGAAACATGCAGACAGCATCCAAAACCTCTCCCCCACACCCTGTTCACTGTGTCCCAGCAAGTGTAGCCCACATAGCAGTAAAAGCCAAGGCACAAGCGCTGCGTCCACACAGCCATCTGTGAATCAGCACCAGGAGCACTGTGATACCGATGCTAGTGAGAAGGGTAAGTCAAAGAGTGTTTTGTTTCAAAACAATCATAATTTTGGTTAGGTATTAAGTGAATCTAACATCTGTTCTAACTATTTTTCTTATCCTCTACCTCCATCTCAGGAGCATGTTCACTGGAAAATGCAGTGGTGCGCTACAGTAAGGCCCAGAGGCCAACCTCGCTGCCCATCCAGCCCTTTGTTCTAGTCCCCGCAGGCAAACCCCAGACCCAGCACTTGGGCTGTCTTCTGGAGCAGTACATAAATCAGAAGAGCAGCAAGTCTGGTAGCTCCCAACCAGGCTTCAAGTCCAAGGTCAAAAGAAGTCAATGCTTTTCTAACCTTCAGTCATCCCTAATGGCCAACCACTGCCCCATCTTCCTGGAGGCTCCTTCGAGCTCTGACACCTGCTCCACTTGCACGCCGAGTCCAGAGTGTTCAGCCAGCCACCGACGCACATGGAGCCAGTCCAGCAGAGGCCAAGGATGCCCAAGTCCATGTGCATCAAAAGACAGCCTGGATCCATCTCACAGCAGCCCAAAGCCAAGAATGGTTCAAGATAAAACAAGCCCATACTCAGGCAAAACTCTGAATACTTTTTCTAATCTATTTTCAACCCCAAATCAGACAAACCTAGTTCAAATTCCCACCTACCAGACACTTATTGACCTTACTCCTGAGGAGAGCCATGCCAAAACGGAGCCCAAAAGTCCCTATCAGTCCCAGACCCACACCTCCAATGATCCAATACTCTCTCATAGTCATACACCACCTACTTTACTCCTAACCACTGACACCCATCACCCAAACCTGCAGGGGTCCATGTGTCCTCCCAACACCGTACAACCAGAAAAGAAGTTCCCTCAGTACCGGGCTGCACCTGCACCTAACTCTGGCTTTTTTCATGGTAGCTTTACCTCTGCCCTTTCCTCGGTAGCTCCTCTCTCCTCTTTGAGTTGCCTGCTTTCCTTGGCTGCTTCTGGACTGCAAATCCAGGACTCTGCCGGGCTCAAAGGGAAGCAGAGTCAGAGTCAATACAGTGAATCTCTGATCATGAGTGACAGGCCGCCCACAGAGTTCTGCCTCTCACCCGATACATCTTATGAGTCCATGTCTATCAGCCATCTTCAGAGGAGAGGTGAGGCCAATGGATGACTCACATCAGTTTGTGCAAAACATGTTCAATACACTATATGCCATACATTGAAATCTGAATGGAGTAAAATAGTGACCTAGTAACAGCAATGACTGGATTCCTCCTTGATTGGATTCTCGATCCAGTCATGAGCTGTAAAGAGCAGCAATAAAAACTCACTGTGCTGTAGCAGTGCCTTCAATACCCTGGAGGGGATTCCTCTCAAACATGACCTATTTTTAACTCTCCCTGCACAGGATTGGCTGAGCCTTCAGCTCTGCAGCCTATGTGTGTGCGACTGCGAGCTCCAAGAGAGGATGAGAGAGAGGAGAATGATGCAGTTGCTAAAGATTTATGAACACACCTAACCATTTTGTTGTACCACATGAGTCACTTGGTGCTAATTTGATTCTATATATGTGGGCCTTTTTGCGATGGGTAATCAACGATGCAGACATTGTGGTGAACAATCAGTGTGGTGCAGCATCAATGCATGGAGAAGTTACCATGGCATTTGCAGAGGCTAGCCAGTATGAGATGAAGAAAGGCAGGCAGGGGAAAGCAAGTCAATGAGGACTGCTGCTACAATCGACTCTTTCATCTTCAGTTCACATTAACATTTGCATTCCCGCAATATGATAATGAACCCTGAAATTAATCTCTCATATTTCTATGCACTGACCCAGTTAGGAAGGTGAAAATCTTATTGAGGAAGTTCATTTTTGAGTGTTATTTTTCTTTGAAGAAGTAAAACATCTGACAGTGCAGAAAAATAATTTCAACCTGCCTACAAATCACCATGTTTAAAGAATTTTCTTGAGATTACAAGATAGACAGAACAAAGGAAATTGCTGCACTAGAGTTAAAAATTCAAAAAATAATTTAATTTGTACTAAAACCAGGTTAGTTAGATTCCCTTATTTGATGAAAATAACGCACTGAAATGTCATAAGATGGGTAAAGATTTATGAACACACCTAACCATTGTGTTGTACCACATGAGTCACTTGGTGCTAATTTGATTCTATATATGTGGGCCTTTTTGCGATGGGTAATCAACGATACAGACATTGTGGTGAACAATCAATGTTTTGCTTCTGGCCAAACAATGTATGAAGCATTAATTACTACTTCAGCTTGTCTAACCTCTCACCTCGTCCAATGTCTCTAGGTTTGCTGAGGTCTGTGAGCAGGGCGGTGGATTTGATCATGGCTCATTTTGGAAGCAGCAGAAACCCTGAAGAAAAGGTGTGAATTTGGCACAGCTAAAGCAACTTGAAAGATCTATCACAATGGAATATCACCTTACTGATATTACTTACATTTTAGGACTGGAGTCAAATCACTTGTGTCAGCAGGAAATACACTGTATCATATTTCTTTCCTCCTGTCACAGATGCGTCTGGGTAACAGCTCTCGCAGTCCCACAATAGCCGGTCTAGTTCTGGAACATTTGTGTCCAGCGATCCAGAATATTTTAGAGGACGGTCTCAGGGATCACAAACTGGATCTCGTTATCGGGCAGCGACGCAACAACTCCTGGAGTGTGGTGGAGGTCTCTACTAGGATCGGTAAATGTAACTGGAGTGAACGTGTTTCAAAGGAAGTGTCATGAATATCCTGGCTTAATTTACCGGTGGAGCAGCTTTGTTTGTGATACACTGTCTGTTGTGTGCTCAAGTATTTTTTATCACTGTCTGCAACAGGTCCATCCACCAGGGTCCTTCACAGCCTGGTCTGCAAAATTAGACAATATCCCCAGCTCACCACCCCCTGCATGAGACTGAGAGCCTTCATTATGGGCCTGCTTAAGTGAGTACTGAAATTACCGTTGCGCACACTAAAAATGCTAAAGAATGTTGATGAAATTACTGCACATACAAGCGTTAATGTTATGTTATTTATGTTCTCTCTTTCAGCTTGAGAGCTTTGGAATTCTGGCTTAGTCACCTTCAGAGTCTAAAAGGTGAGCACACAGTAAATTTACTATGCTAGCAGCATGGCAAAATCTGTCATGATTTTGTTATACAAATATTATTGCAGGCCGATGTTAGTATTAAGCTCAAAAACAGATTATTATTGCATATTATTGCATCTTTGTGTGTTCACATTTGTTACTGTCTCCGCAGAAGTGGTGACAACATACTACCATTCTTGGGGGTTCCTGTCCATGTCACTGGGTCAATGTCAGCCCTTGTTTCAGGAGCTGCTGCTTCTGCTGCAGCCGCTCTCTGTGTTGCCCTTTGACCTCAACTTGCTCCTAGAGCCCCGACTGTTACGTAACAGACAGCTGTGTTCTGAGGAGCAGGGAGTTTCTCCTCCTCAGCCGTGCTCAGCCCTCCTAGTGACCAGCTGGCCACTACTGCAAGCTGACAAAAAGGTAGACAGCAGCGACAGCAGTCAGCAAACTAAGATTTCACACCAGACCGGTCTGAATCACCAAGAGTCTCTCCATTCTCAGAATTGCGTCAGGCCGGATTGTGGAGGGACCAACAGGAGTCCATTGTTAGCTCCTATTCCAGAGTGGTGGTCGAAGGAGTCTTACCTTATGGACGGTGTGGTTGAAGGGGAGGACTGTAGCCAGAATTATGCAGATACTTGGTCTCAAATAAGTATGGACAGCAGGCAAGAAGAGAAGACGGGAGAGAAAGACAATGAGACACCGATTGCATCCACTTGTTTCCAGGCTGAGAGTCCGTGTCAGGGTGGGCTGCGCTGGGCCAGACTGTTTGGAGCAGCTGATACTTCCACCAGGACAGAGACCGTTTCTCAGAGTGTAGCACAAACCAGAAGGTAAGAACCGGCAGTGAGCAATGACAGCAAGTAGCCTTCTGCTTTGGAGGTTTGATTTTCTTACAACTTTAATCTGTTCTTTGGTTGATTTACGACTGACTGCGACTGTCACTGTCATAACCAATACCTCTATATCATTGCTTTCATAGGTACAGGCGACCATCACAGTGGCTGAATTTCGACAGATCACAGCTTGGACTGTTGGCTCAATCCATCAGGTCAATGAAGCTAGGAGGAGCTCAGACGAACAAGGACTGCTGAAAACCAAACCCTCTGTGGGTGGAGGACAGAGTGGAGCCTATTTACTGTAGTAACAAAAAGTTTTACTGTAACTGCATGATAACACATACACAGTGCTGAACTGATCAGCAAGCACATAGCATAACAAGCTTTGGCAATGGCCCTTATTCATCAAGCTTTTCGTTGCACCACTTATTCAAGTATGTGTGTCCTTTCTAAGATCTTAGTAGCAGCTAGTTACCAGCTGAAACAGTATGTGGCTGGTATTGTTTTCACCATGTAATTCTGTGTGTGTGTGTGTGTGTGTGTGGGTGTGTGTGTGTGTGTGTGTGTCATCAAGGCAACAAGTGGTCTAAGAGACACTTACTGTAGCTAACTACCACAGAGGAGGTTTTCAGTACTTTGCCAGGTGTTTGTTTGTGGACTGATTTTCTATCACAGTATCACATCATCTTGCACAACCAAGATGCAGTCACGGAACTTTACAGCTGTGTAGTTGAGATCACAATGAAGGTCAAGTTTGAAGATGGCTGTGGTCTGAGCAAGGGGAGGGAGGGCGAAGGGGCCAATGGCACCCCCACTTTACGCCCCTGGCCAGATTTGACATTGTGGCTGGTTTGATCCCATCACAAGATAGTCTCTAGTTAAAAAATAAATCAGGTTGCAGCACCATTTAAACTAAAGGAATGTCTTCATTTGTATACACTTTTACAATGTGTAAGGAAACATCCATAACGCTGTCCAAACAACTATTTATACAAGTCGCTGTAGCAAACACTGTAGCAAACTGGGCATAACTGCCAAAAATAACAATTTAAAGTCTATATATCTAATTTGTAATCCTTTACAAATGTTGGTAATACTTAGTTTTATTATTTATATGGAGACATATGTGTTTAGAGTTAGTTGTAATTATGTAGTTTATAGGCTTTTTAGCTAGTCATTTTCTTTGACTAGTTAGGATAACTTTTTGCAATTTTAAGTTTTCTGTTATGTTTATGAAAGGTAGTTTACAATCTTTCAAGTTTACGCCACTATTAAACAGCCTTCAGATATGTCGACCCTATTTCATAGTATCTCTTACTTTTCAATCTAAACGGGTCATATATCAGCAAGCTACAGTTCGTTTTTTCAGTTGGTTAGCAAACGCTACAGTTACAACTGGAAGTTACTGACTTGTTGCATACAATCTAGTGATACACAAATCTCCATTTAGTAAACACCTAGATTATAACTGGGTTTAACTTTGGCACGACTGCTGGGACTGGCTCCTAATCTTAAAAGGTCCCTTGGTTGTTGTTTTATAGGTGTTCTTTCGTCATTTGTGCTCAAATTAGTTGCGAGATAAATCTCTATGATTGTGGTCAGAAGAGGCTGGATCATTTCCTCAGTAGATTCTGAGCTGTTTTCCACAAAACTGCTTGATGAATGAGGGCCAACTCCACCATATGCAATTGCACTCTGGAGTAAATCTCCTTCATGTTTTCTGTAGGCAGAAATCAATCATTAAATGTGAATATTGACCTGCTTTAGACTGTTTGACATTCTTGTGGTCATTCTCTCCATAGCTGTACCTTTCATTTACAGATGAAAAAAAAAGAAAGAAAGCAATGCATTCTTACTAGTGCCAAATATGCTAGACACCAGCCTTGTGGATGTTCAGTGATGTTTTGTTTCCAGTAACTTGCTTTTTTGAGCAAATCCCTGCATGGATTTACTTTAGCTGCATGAGTTAACACATAAATGAGGTGCTTTAATACTTCCTACATCTCTTAACTTCCTGTTAATGTTTTTTAAATGTGTGGAATTGTTTGGTATATACAGTAGAATGTCTTCCAGTGAAGTCAATTGAGTTGCACAGTTACAAGCCATCTTGTGGCAGCTTCAGGTATTTAAGTGTGAGTCAGGTATATTTAGATAGACTGGTGGTTAGATAAGGGGATGGAAAAAAACTGAAAATGTGTTCATTCTGAATTTTTAATGTACGGCAATAATGTGAAGTATGTGAAATTATTTCCCCCAACGTCATTGTTTCTCAACGTCTGAATGCTTCTTCTAATGCCCAGTGACAATCAAAGTCTGTCAATAAAGACTTCTTCTTGTATGCCATGACAACAGTGAACAGTAACAGTGAACAGTAAACATCTTTATTTATGGGTTTCATGTTAATGTGAGGACTTATTGATACGTTCTCAGATTTGAGTCATGTTATAATTGTCATTTTTATTGAAGTATATGATTGTTATTTACTGTGCCTGAATCACCCTCTTGATGCCGCTCCTTTCCAGTGCATTCTTGGAAAGTTGGCCAAAGGTTTGTCCATACATAAACTAGTATCCTGCAGGATGGTGTGTAGAGTAAGACATGCTTGAACTTCAGTTTAACTGATTATTTTCACTTCAGTAACCTTTTTAAAATGGTTCGCAAGGCAAATGTGTTGCCAACACAGACACCGACCTGGGATGTGTCCGGTGAATGATGGCACCACACCCCTGTTTGATGGATGGATAGTGGGCACGGGAGTTATTGTACTATTGTACTAGTTATTGTACATCCCTGGGATGCTTTGTGACGTGGGGTCAGTCCGCTGCTGCTTTCCGAACTGGATCAGTGCCTGGTTGGTAGTGATTGGGTAACCTTTGCCAATTAGGAAGCGAGATTTTGGCACATGCCCTGTAGAACCTGTAAAAAGACATCCCTCAGTGAGCTGCTGGAGTATTGTAGGAATGCATACTGTACCGGGTCATGATATGCAAGTGAAAAAAACTATAAAAGCCAGTATAGATATTGTATATGTTTACAGTCCGCATGGTTGCATTTCCAGCCAAAGCTAGCAGCAGTTTTCAACAAAAATGCTCTAAAACCTACGCTGACTGCTCAGCACCAAATAGTCAACAGAAAAGGTTCACAATACTTGGAGAGTAAAGTCGAATATGTAGTTGCTAAAGACCCAACATTTCTTCTCAGGAGGCATGTGAATATACTGTATTTGCCAAGTGTCCAGAAAAGCTCTAAAAACAAACTGTACACTATCTGATCAGCATCAACGTCAGAATATGAAATCATAAACAAGCTGAACAGTGGAGTCAGATATTTCTCCCAGGAGTACGTGGAGCCCAAACAAGAGCTGAAAGCAGAGTGAAACATGATTCTGACTGAATTATGATTTTAGTATTTTACATAATGCTGGATGTGTAAATAGAAATCTGTTTGCTAACAAGTTTGCCTTATCGACATATAGAAGTTGATGTGTTGTGTTCACAGCTCATTTACATTGCCTCCAAGTGGCCAAAAATAGTTTGTTATTGCAGGTTTAAGACCTAATTCTCTTTAATGGAAACACTTGTTAAAATTCTCTGTTGTACCTGAGATAAAGTGCTTGTGCGGGCTATCATCATCCATGAGGTATGGTTTTCCAGTGAGGGTGAAGGACTTCAAGGGCCTGTCGGTAATCATTTTGTTGGAGATTGCTGTCAAGTGGGGACTTGGTCTCTGAGTCAAACGATAACAGAGAACCATTAGAACATGATTTAGAGATCATTTGATATTTAAATATATATATATTTTTTTGCCACAAGAAATTGATTAGAATTATTATTTATGTGAATCTCAGAGACATAATTGATGCATCTGTGGTCGGAGGTTCCACTATAGATAATTAAACAAGAGTGAACCTATTCAGAGGTGCCATGTCAATATGTTTGTGTGTGTGTGTGTGTGTGTGTTTGTGTGTGTGTGTGTGTGTGTGTGTGTGTGTGTGTGTGTGTGTGTGCAATAGAGTGTGAGAAAGAGAGAGAGTTACTTCAAACTGTTGGTTGTTGTAGTTTACAACAGCTGGCAGGTCTGTTGATTGCCGTTGGATCTTCCCACGCCTGTCCTGGTAAAACTCTGACAGCGCTTTACGACATGTTTCAGAATAGCTGCAGGCAAAGTAGTTCTGACTTTTTGGAATGAAGCCTAAAAGAGCAAGAAATGATGTTCTGCTAAAATGATTGTGCTGTCTCGTGATGAAGAAACTTTCGGTTTTATTGACTCAGGTTTTGAGATTGATTGGCTGAGCAAATAAAGCTAAAGCTATCTGCCACTTTTTTTGTTTTTGTAATTTGGATGAACTGACCCTTTAAAATGATCTGCAAGAATGTGTGTACGTGTGTGCACAAGCAATGTAAACACAAGAAAAAAGGGACTTTAACTTTGAAATCACCCCTTCAAACATGGCTACAATTATGGCTGTGTGGTGTATGTTATCTTGATTTTCAACACTGTTCCACTTAACTGGTCGTTTAATAATTTAGCAGTTGGACACAGATTATTCTCATGTTCTCAAGGTCTCATGTTGTTGTGCTGTGAAAACTATTTAAAAGCACATTGCTAGATTTGACTTATAACTGACACATACTGCTGATCGCCAGTGTATTTTACATCATTACGAGGTCGTTAAAAGCTTCTCCATTTAAATTTTAGTGAATTTTGTCCCCAACATGACATCATTTTCCACGAGGTGTTCGGTTACTTTGTTGACCCGGTGTGTTGGTGTGTGATACCAACCTGTGTATCCTGGTATCCTCTTCAAGTTACATTCAGGGATGCTTCTCAGTGTCAGACCAACGTCCGACTCCGTGGAGGGGATGTGACCCGTGTGGAGGACCAGACAATTGGAGTGTTGCACATGAGGACTGGTGAGCAGCTCGGCTGTGAGCCGGCCATAAGACTTCCCCACATTGTACTTGAGCTGCGGGCAATACCCCGTGTACCTGAGCACAATGGGGAGTCTGAGGTAAACACAAACTCCAGCAGTCTCGGTAGCAGCTTTTCACTTGGAAACAATAAGATAGAATTTAGAGACATTGATAGTATCAATTATACAGATTTAACACAAATTTTGAGAAAAACAGTAGGATGTATGGAGTGGACAAATTAACAGGAACACCGTACTCAAATATACAATATTATACAAATATACAATAACACCAGCAAATAAGGCTGCATAGATTTAACTCTACTCTGACACAATTTCAATGAAATAGATAAATTAGATAACTTTATTATAATTTCATGTTGTACCCGGTTATATTTGACATGTTCTCCTCCTGTTCTCCTAGTTTAACTGAAATAAGAAGCCCACACAGACATTATAACCCTGCTGCAGTATCTTCAGTATACAAAGGTATATTTATTTCTTGCCGTATCCCGTGACAGGAGACATGTACTTACCCCGGTACATAATGCGGATCAGGTGTCAGCAGAGCTTTGCTGAATGTATGGGCGTATTTCTCCATGTTGGTCCCGTTTAAGGCTGAAGCAGGTCGCCCTCCTGAGCGCAGTGTTTGCTGGTTGCTAGAGAATCAAATACAAACACACTGATGGAGCTCAATGTCATTAAACTGACACGTGCACCGGCACTCTTTCTGCAAGGACAACAATACTATTGTTTTCTATAGTAGGCCTACTGATAGATAGGAATTATTGTTGGAACATATCAGTAACACTCCTGCTGTCGTCTCTTCCGCTAATTGTTAGTCCATCTTGATGTCCTCTGTGTCAATTATTGCAGGCGGCTCTATTACTCGGACTTATAGCTTTATTGATGTGTTTCCTGCAGTTAATGCTTAACGACGCCCAGCAACTTCCTGCGGGATATTTTCTAATAGTACGAGGAGGAGGAATGTTTACAGACAATGTACATATGGGGATTTAAAATAAGTAGTTTAGAAACAAATTATTTAAGAATATTGGTAAACAAAAACAAATTAGTTAAAAGAAGAATTAATTCATTAATTAATATTTGGGTGTGTGGGTCCCCTTACCCCTTTGATCAGTGATTGAGTAATATTGTGTGTGTGTCTTCAGGGCATGATGTTATCAGCTTAGATAAGGGGCTGAATGGGGATGCGATCAGTGGACCATTTAGTGGTTAACCATTTAATGGTTGACCAATGAATGGTCGCTGTTGTCCAGATGTCCTAGTGATGACTCCTCCTTCCCCACCATGTGCTCAAGGGCCTTTATAAGTCGTACACAACCAACACTCTGGGTTCCTTCCTCCTTCAGACCACATTGCATTCTGTATGACGACTGAAACTTCTCTGCGCATTTCAGTATCATAGGACTCACTCAGTACTATTAAATCGTTTTTCCACCACAATATACTGAAAGGACACTGTTTCACAGTCGTCTCCACCCAACAAGGAATACAAATCTGTGTGGAAATACTTATTTATCTATTTTTGGGCTTAAGAGTGAGATTCAGTCTAAAAAGTCCATAAATTGTCAACTATATATGACTTATTTATTTTAACTGTAGAACACTAACAGTGACCTACATTTCCTACATTTTAGCATGTTTGTAAGAGACTTAAAAACATCTGAACCCATCCTATCTATGTTTATCGAACATAGATGTTGATAAAGACCACAACAAACATGAGGATTAGTTATTGAGTCGGTGAAGGAGTCTTTAAAAAAAGAAAATACCTGGGGATAAGATATTGTGTGCACACACTCTTGTGAACATTTATAACATATGATAAAGTGTGTATCACAAGTAGAAGAAAAGTATATGTATCATGGCTAACAAATCATTTGATATGGGTACGAATATGTTTATGTTTGAGCATGGATGAGTAGATCTGCTTATGAAAAATGACAGAAAAAAGTAAGTAAGTCAATAAATAAAATGGAGGAATAGTTCAACCACGGTTAACTGTCATCAGGACAACAATAGATGTAACTGTGACTGAAAAATAACTGTTTTGTGTTTCCAGGATTGTGAATGATCCAGTGCCTTTCATCAGATGCTGCCACTGTTCACATGGGGAATGTAGATCATATCTGCAGACAGGAGTGTCCACTCTACACATTCCTGCACTCGCACATAAATCTGGGTTTGTTGAAATGACGAAACAGCGTTTACTGTTTCAGCTTCACACACATACCATAATGCTATTTATCCACTAAGGAATTTTAACATATTATGTTACGCTTCTCATATACTCACCCTTATGAATGAATGGGTCAGGTATGTTAAAGGCGTGTAGGTTATAGAAGTGAGTTTTGTTTCCATCTCAGGTTGTTGGAATCATTTAAATGGCATTTGTGATCAGTATTCCTTTATTTTTACTCCCTTTGCAGCATCTCTGTTTCTGAAAAGCAATATAAAACTGAAGTGTATATCTTAATTCAATCTAAGTACTGTCTGTAAATACACAGGTTAACATCTATCATCATGTCATGACTTGTTCTTATTATGTCTTGGATGTCTTACAGCTGTGGGGACAAATCAAACAATTCGAATAACAGATGAGTCACTTTTTTTCCCAGAATTTAGTGACAGGAAGGACCGGGTATGAACATGCAGCTCAGCGCTGAAACATGACAGGTGATGGGGAGAGGCGTGGTGAAGGAGCAGAGGCGGATCAGAGGGAATGCTTTGAATTTGCCTTCACCAGTTCACCTCGGCTAACGACTGCGTGGGTTGTGTGAACTGGTGTCTCGTTCATTCTTCAGTTCGGAAGCATAGGTGTGAGGGACAGAGGGAAGATGAATCTATACAAGAGCTTTGGAAACCTTATGGAGGCTTGGGTAGCTGAAGTAGGCCAGATTTCGGACACAGCATGGCTTGGAAATAATGATGAAGACCTTCCTACACCTTCCTCTGATGTCGGGACAAATCTGCGCTCAGAATCAGTGGACTCTGGAGTGGAGACAGCCAGCTCTGTCATGTCCTTCCCTGCTACACCCTCCTCTGTCTCAACAGGTATCGCAGAAATAGACATATTTCCACCAGAAAGAGAAGGCGACGGACTCACTCCTGCCTCAACATCACAGTCTCCCGTCCTCTCTTCTCCCGAGCCTTCCTCTTCTTCCTCTCCGCACCTCCTTCCCAGCAAAGCTCAGGTGGGCTCCGCAGCCTTGCACTTAAAAGTGGAGCGAGCATTAAAGAAGACTGACTCGAAGCATCTAAAGAACAAACGAGAGCCCCTTACGGTGGATGAGATGCTCAGGCGACATCCTCGATCATCTTTTGAACCCAAACAGCACGCATCAGAGTTAGTGAGAGGTCAAAGGTCACAGAGTGTCGCCTTAAAGAGGACAGTCAAGCCATCGGTGCTCCCGAGGCAGATGTCGGTAATGTGGAGCCGGCCAATGTCTACGAGTTGTGACAAGCAGCCAGCTCAGACAAGAGCAGAGGTGAGATAATGTTCATGTCGCAAACTAAACTGTGTTCCAATTTTTTTCTTTTTTTTAAAAAAACAGAAGAGTAGTTTCAGGATTACACAAGTTTCACAGTAACATGTATCGTCTTGAACTGCACAGGTATGCAAATATGAAAGGAAAACCTGAAAGGAAGTCGCAGAAGTGTAACACTGTGTCTAATTTAAATTCACCAAGCTGCTCTCAAATTTAAAGTAGGACAGGCATGTCATTACTCACACAGACTCTCTTTCATGCTCGCAACCTGTCACATGTCCGTCTGCGGTGTGAGGATCACAAACCAGTCTGCCCAGGTGTCTTTATGCCCACAGGCACGGGAGGAATGGACGGAGTCGTGCAGAGGAAGCTCAGCAGTCTGTGGGGTTTTTTGTTGAACATGGCAGACATGTTGATAACTGGATAATGGAAGAAATTCAAAGAACATTGGATATGTTCCTATTTACCTTTGCTATGACTTAGTGAGATCAGAGATTGAATCCATTCATGTTGACTGCACACAGAGGTGTTGAAACAACAGGATTAATTGTACCATTTGTATCTAATTAGGTCCTCAATGTTCTTTTAGTCTCTGGGTGTGTGTGTTTGTGTCCTTGCGTGAGGGCCAGCGGTAAAAAGCTTTGATGACACTGAGAAGTAGATAAAATGATCTAGAAATATGTCTTATCGCCGTTACTGTTCTATATTGTCTTCTCTACTCTAGATAGTGCTTATATTAATTGGTTGTATTTATAAATGTAGTACTTTTGACAGTACATTCAATTTAAAAACTTGGACAGTGATGGATATTTTTTCGTAATTTTCTGACATTTGTAGAAAGAACAATTAATACAAAAAAACAATGAACAGATTCATTGAATTCCAGACCTAATTCTATTCATTAAGACAAAGAGTCAACTGTATATCGGAGCTAAATGCTATCTTCAGCATGCTGACATGATCGCAGTGTTTACCATGTTGATCATCACCACGCTAACATTTGCTAATTTGCACAAAGCACAATCACCCAAATTATTGCAATTCATCCTTGGGGGAGGGATGAACGTTTGTATCACATTTCACGTCAATCCAGACAATAGTTGTTGAGAAATTTCACTCAAAACCACAAATATTGACCTGCTGATGGCGCTGGAGTAAAAGTCAGGGGATCAGCAAAGTCATAAGAATTCATCGTCTGGGCACCATGAATATACGTATGTACAAAAGTTCATGTCAATCCGTCTGGTAGTCTGGAAAACCTTTATGCCGACTAAACTTGTATTGTAATGTCGTATCCTACAAGGTAAAGCTTTTCTTGCGTAATGATCTGTGCAGGACCTTGGTGAGCAGGAGGGGACACGACTGAGTCCTGGGTTCTGCTACTTGGAGCAGGTGTGCCAAATGTTAGAAGAAGTTGCCAGACAACAGATGCACAGCCGAGCGCTACAGATGGAGACGGACGCCCTGCGGGAACATCAAAACATAGAGGTGAACCAGGTGAAGACAATCATTGTAGCACATCTTCGCACAGCAATGAAGAAGTTGTCACAAACCTGACATGAGCTTGTCAAGCTGGTTATGACAAGATGTCCTCCTGCAGCCTTGGGTCCATATGAATTAAACCATGATAACAATGTGTGCCACATCACTTGACTCTTTCAGACTCTCATCACTTGTCAGAGTGACTCGAAAGCTGCTGAGGAGGATGTCTCTTTTTGTGAGAGTCTTGAAAATACAGAAAGTGCAGAGCCCAGTGAACCCCAACCGCGGAGAGATTATCCTTACAGACATTTTCGGCAGAGATCTGCTTCTGACACAACACTGCACATAAGTGAGTCAAAGTCCACCTACTGCTTTCCATTTTCACCTTCTGTGATTTTGTACATTCAATGTATTCTAATAAGGAGATATTTTGCGAGTCCTGTGTGTATCGCAGCTATGTTATTGTGTGTGCGTGTGTGTGTGTGTGCGTGTGTGTGTGTGTGTCTCATTGGTGCATAAAAAGTAAATGCAGACTACAGAGGGCAGCATCTGAGTACACATGACCTGCTGGAGAAGGATGAGGAAGACCATGAAAATCAGGTAAAATACAGTTAAATACAACATGTAATTTGTACGTAAATAAGCACGGCTAAAGAGTGAATACATCATGTCATTTGCATTGTGTTATGGTGAGTTTTTTAAGAAATATGTTATTTTTTTCCCCCAATAATATTCTCTTATTTCTGTCCACAAATATCTTTTGTGTATTTCCAGGGTTCTGATAAAGAAGAGACGGATAAAAAAAGGAACTGGAGAATGAAATTTGGGTCTTGGACACAAGAGGAGTATGCAGTGAGAGATACAAAGGGGTGAGCAATTGCATTTACAACTGTAACCTGTAAGTGGGGCCGTATCATTAATCTCATATGATGCATGATGCTTTGAGGAAATGTTTGTGCTGCTCCAACATGGCAGCTGGCCACACTGACGCAGTGGTCAAGAGCTAATGCACAGTCGATGCAGAAGCTTTTGTTTGGAGTTCATTTTCAGTCTGTGCTTCTGTTCCTCCTGAACATTTTGTCCCTTTTCCATGAAACGTAGCCTACATGCTGGCTTGCTTTAGCTCTGTTTAATGAATTTTTTATCTGCACAGCCAAAAGACGCATTCATCTGAGAGAAACTCAGCCCGACGACGGCTGAGCCAGATGTTCAGGAGGAAGAAAACTCCGCTTGAGTAAATGGACCACAGTGTCTCCGTCATGATTTTTGGACATTTTTGGTTTCAGTTCTGAAGAGGAGGAAGCTTCTCTTTAAAGGACTGAGCACTGTAACTGCTTTCAAACTGAATTCCTATGCAGCCCATGAGATGAAGCAATCTGCCATGTTTATTTATTGTCTGCTGTATACTTGCCTTTATTTTTTATACTGAAATAATATGTTTTCATATTAAACAGAGAGTGGGAATGAATTTAGTCAAAGCTTCTTTTTTTGCAAACATTAAACTTGTGTCTGTAATAAACTGCAAATTGGTGAAGAATATTGGTATGCACTGTACAGTATAAAATCATTAATTTGAATATTTCTCTTTGAAGCTGTTACGCATTCATTTTTACTTCTGCAACATAAAAGAAACATGCCTCATATCCATCAAATGCTGTGTGTCTACATACAGGACAGTATGAAAGAACAATCGGATATGACTGCACCACATAGGCTTTCTATGAACAGATTATTAATTATTTGGTCTGGGAAATGTCAAAGAAATGCTTCCAGAGGTCATGGTGAAGTCTGCAATTAGCTTGTTTTGTCAGACCAACAGTTCAAAACCCAAATATAATCACTTTAGTGATATAATTGTAAATCTACCTGAGGAACCCTTACAAAAAGGGGTTTTGTGAGCAGTAAAATATACCAAATACCATAAAAAAATCCCTGATTTGTAGAAAATAAGCTTCATTTTTGAAATAACAAAACCATTTCTGAATTTTCATATTAATTGCAAAACATAGGATGTAAATTAAGGGATGGCCTTCATGTTTGTTAGGACATTTTAAGGAGTTTTTAAAAAACTATTTAAATCCCCTTAAACCATGCAGAAAACCTATTAGAATACCACAATCCATTAACTATCCCTTGATTTAAGGCAAAAAAAAGGAAAGGAAAGCCACAATTGCATTCAAATCCTTTCTGTAGCTTGACAGATCACAAGTGCAGGCCACACAGAGTTACTTTTATCATTTATTATATCTTTATTCACCTAGGTTGGGGGGGATAGACCTCCCCTGGCATTCCCATGTAAAGAGATGTCAATGACAAACACGTCCAACCAAACGAGAGAGGGTGAATAGGATTCCAGTCCATACATAAAATACATTTATTTACTATTTGTTGAACCATCGGCATCCATTAGTCCCACATAGCATCCATCTGTGCTAGTAAATATATAGAGATAACATCTGTGGAGGGATTTATTTACTGTATGTGTGTGTGAGAGAGGGGGTTGGCAGAAAGGGTAGAGCTTATAGACGAAAAGAGTGGTGGTGAGGGGGGGTCGGGTGCAGTCGTGCCTGCATTGTCCTCCCTTGTCTACATGATTCCACAGGAGGACAAGGGGTTGGCGATCTGGCAGGTGCAGGCCGACTGGCAGTATTGGCGCACAGTCTGGTAGCAGCTGCGGTCGGCGTCCCCGCCCCACTGCACGGGCCCGTTGGGGTCAGAGGGCAAGCGGCTCAGGATGCTGGTGTTGATGGCCAGAGCAGCCAGGCCATAGTCAGTGAACAGCACTGTCTCGCGCCTGCACGTGGGACACGAGATGAACTTGTACTTGGGACAGGACTCGTAGAGGATCTGCAGGCACTCCTCACACACCGAGTGCAGGCAGGAGAGGATGCGCGGCCGCTTGCCTGCAAAGTTGTAGGTGTGACCGCAGGTGGGGCAGTCCAGGGGCTCGCAGGGCATGACGGGTCCCGAGGAGGAGGAGGAGGAGGTGGAGGAGGTGGTGGAGGAGGAGCGCAGCACGTACTGGTTGACTATGACGTCTTCCATCTTGTAGTGGAACTGGTGGTAGCAGATTTCGTTGGCACTGGTTTTGCGCTGCGCCAGGAAGCTCTGCTCCCGGCGCGTCACGGGGGCTGAGGGGGAAACCATCTGCCGGGGAGACCCTGTAATGTCCAGGGTCAGGTCGCTGCAGGCCTGGTTGACGATGATTTCGCCTTCACCTCCGCCGTCCCATGCCACTCTGGGGGGCGGGGCATAGCGAGGCTGGGTGACGGGAACAGGGCACTCTCGGGGGAACTTCTCCGACTGGATGATCTTGACGGTGTCCATGGGGATGGTGACAGGCTGGCGCCTGAGGCAGGACATTCGCACGTTTCTGGAGGTGGAAGAGAGAGGGGCTGTGGCTCCAATCACGGCTGGACACCCCTGCCTGGTTCTGGGCAAGGGGGAAAAGATTAGGCTCTTTCTCTGGAGTCAGCCATTCGAGGGGACATGGGGACGGATGGTTGCCTCCATGTTTCCCTCAGAGATCCCACTTGGCGGGCGCTACTGTCAGCCTGTATCTTTGTGAAGGGAAGACAGATGGAAGAGCTCAGCCAGAGCACCGCACTCTGCAGCTCTTATTCTGTTGATATGTATGGATAATTTAACAGTCCAGCTTACAGTGTCTGACCAGTGCTGACTACTTAAAGGTAGTTTTTTTTGTTGCTGCTGATGTTCCTGTGCTGTCTCTGATGGTTATTTGCAGAAATGTATATTCACATACAAGGACAGTTAGTACTTTAGCACAAAGATATGTTCTCACTCAGGGATGACACTGATAAACAATCTCATATGCACACAGATGCTCACATATATACATACAGTACAGGTTGGTGGATTTCTGCATTCACACTATGAGGGGGGGGGGGGATTGAGTTCAGGCAGTTCAGAAAGGTCCAAAAGGTATTGTCTTAAACTATATCCTGTGGCCTGCCAAGGAAACTCTTGTCTTCTCAAACTAGCCTTTACACATGGTTCTCACTTAGCTTAACTTCCTGTTTTTTTGGCTGTGGAGGTGTTACACATCGACTCGAGTGCGTGAGAAAGAAAGAACAACCTCCAGTCTTTCTCTCTGCTCTTGGTCCTGTTTGGTCAGGTGACCCTGTGTGACCCTCTCAGTGGCTTATTGATAACAAACAGGGTTGTCCCATAATGCTCTGGAAAGCTGATGGAATGACTCCTTCAAGCTCCAAGGCTCCTGAATTCCTCAGAGGTGGGAGTGAAGGGTTTAACGTTCAGACAGTCCTCCCAGCTGAGCAGAAGAAGTGATAACAGTCTGAGGGATGCCTCTGTGCTTGTCTCCACTTTTTTTCAGTGACTCGTAACGTTTCCTTTGGTCCATCTACCTGTGAAAACAGAAGAGATTTATAAAAATACATGAATTTCTGCTCTGATAAAAACATTGCAAGATTTAGTGAATTTGAATGACATGTAACATGGAATATTAATGAGATACGTAGGGGGAATGGGTCAGCTTTTAATAAATATATAAAACAAGTTCTATTATTCTGAGAAAGGTCTGTAGGTGTACGCTATTTTCATTGTTTATGGGAAAGATCATAGCTGTGAGATCTTTCCGTGTTGGGAATTGTTTTTAACTTGGAAAGAATCCACTGTAGCTGTATCAAGATCAGTTTACTTGTGTTTATCTGATGACGGAGGCTGTCAACTTTGCATGTTGGCCTCGGCCCAGGTGTATTACTTAAGAGATAATTATCATGTTGCCAAATGTACCAGTACGTACGCCTCTGTTTTGACTACACACAATGTGCTACAAAGTCGGAGGATTATGTTGATGTGGTATGAGTGCTTAGGCTTTAGAACGACATGCACAGCACAGCTACTGTGCATTTTAAAGGGTCATTTAGGGTCATTTAGTATTTTTCAACCTCAACCTTTTTCACCCCATGTTTTTTTGTCCAAGCGACTCATCGGGACAAATTTTTTTGAAATTCTGCACCATCAATTTACGTCCTCTAAAAGTTTTTGCTACTGAAAGGCTCAGATTGTTGTTATAAGTGTCTGACAACATTGTAGAAAGGACATGTTGTACACTAAAGTCTGTGCATCAAGCAGGATTTTAGAAATACTGAGCCCATTAGTACAAGTGCCCCTCCTCCATCCCCACAAAGAAGTCACATTTAAAACATATACAAACGTGTTTACAGCAGTAATAGCAGGTAAACAATGCTGCGGACACAAAACGTAAATGCAACTGACAGGTAATTTAAAGCCAAAGCCTGCCACACTGTCCGGTCAGAGCAGGCGCTTGTGACACATGTTGCGGCCCTGCTCTTGTCATGCTTCCTGCTTCCTGTCAGCACTGTCACATCTTATGAGTTGCGTCAGCTGGACCGCGTGGGAACAGGTTATACTCTGCACGGAGGGGTTTTTGTGTCATACTGTGTGTGGGTTTAAGAAAAAGAACAAGAGTATGCATGAAGCTTTTCAACTTGACCAAAACAATAGCTGCCAGTCAGGAGAGGCGGGAGGATGACACATTCATTCTTTTCACTGGCTGATGATTCATTAAGAGAGAATAAAAAAGCTTTGCAGAGGAGGTGACCTACATGGCGAAGAAGAAAAAAGAGAGAGAAAGAGATAGAAAGAAAAGAGAGGAGAGGGAGCTCAGTGCTGGTCCAGGTTTCTATTTATGGTTTGTTTATCTATGCACTTCTCAGTGGTGTCCTGCCCCCAACCCCCTGCTGAAGATTCACACCGAAGGAGAGAGATGTACCTAACAGGCGGAAGTGCTTGAGCCCATTACCTCCACGCGATGCAGCGAGCCATACTGGGCAAGCAGACAGACATTTGATTCTCCCCTTTGTCCTCTCTCAATGAATCTGTTGACACATTTGTACAGCTCACACTCAAACACACAGAGCTGTTAGACTGAAACACCGACAGTCTCACCAAATGTGCTTCAACACTTCTCCCAAAATAGCCTCTGTTTCTTTTTCATCCTCTTTCACACAAAGTATGCATTCACACACAAAGATAGTGATATATTTCAGGGGCAATGTTTGGTGGTTTTTATAAGAGAAACAATCATCAAGAATATGTATATGATGGCCTCACAAATGCAGGTATTGATTATAGATAAGATTAGATATTGATAACATTATCAAAGAAAATTTGTTCAAAAAAAAGTAATAAACATAAAATTGAATGAAAAGACATCACAATGTTATGATCAATGTTTGATTATTGATATGAAATTGTCTGTGACACAATGTGTACAGATGTTGGCATTGATTCCTGATCAGATTCTTAGTCATGTTTACCTATTCTATGATCGGATACAGACTGGTTTGAATAATTATTTTGCCTCCTTTGGATTGTTTAATTTGTGCAAAGTTCTGCTTGACAACAGTTAACATGACATTTTGGACTTTTGTTAAAAAAAGTTTTATGTAGAAACACATTTTATTTTGTTAGTATCATATCAAAAATGTAACATTTTAGGTATTAGTACCTAAACAAACATAATATCGGCATCAAACTATTTTAAATTACTACATGATACTATACTATATCACATGGATGTTCCACAGCTTTATGCATTATATACACGTTATATAACTGCAATAGTGGGAATTATGGCCTGGATTGAATTTGGCTATATCACCTGATGGTTTAAATTACAGCTATACCTATACATCTGCCCATATGAGTGCAGAAATGCCAAAAAATAACTTATATATGTATGTAATATGCATGTAGATATAGTTTTGCCCTTGTATCTACTGCAGACTACTGAAGAAGGGATCCAAAAGTCTGTTCATTCTATGTTTAGAAACCCACAATCAGCCAATATTGGCCTCTAAAATCCGTTAGGCTATTGTTTGAAATTCAACTAATCATCTCCACTTCTGACAACATATTATACGTCTAGACACACCGTGTGGATATAAACAGCTCGTGAGAGTATATGTCTGCCTCGCGGTGGGCAGGGGTCGAGTTGGTAAAGCATCCAGGCTGCACGCGGAGCCTTTGAGCCTGGGGGAGATGAAGCAGCTAAAATTACCCTCTAATTTGGTGACAGCGCTATGAAAAGGGCCGATAACTGAAGCCGCCTGCCCGCTGATGGCCCAGCTTTGGCGCAGCCTCTTCCTAATTGACGGAGCCCTCTCTCCGGTTATGTAAGGAGCTCATCTCCTACCCAGTCACCATATTAACAGAGTGCTTCAGCTCTCCCACAGTCTTGACATTGAGTGTTTGCGTGCGTGCGTGTGTGTATGTGTGTGTATACATAGCTCTGGATCCTCTCCCTGCAGAGGAATTATTACACTAATGAAATCATGGCAAGCATTTGACCTCGTCATCACAAGCAAGAGGAGGAAGAGAAGAGCTGACCAAAGAGATGTCAGAGGAGTTCGTCTCGCAGCAAATTCCTCACAGCATTAAACACACACAGAGCAGCATATACAGTTATAGAGTCACACACACACACACACACATTGAAAGTCTCACCCTTGGACGACTCCCCATCATCGTACTCGGCACCACCCTTATACATTCCACTGGACACACAAGCTGACAGATAACAAACCGATAAAAGCCTCTAAAAGGCATATTTCTGGATGTGCCCACTATCAGTCATGCTACTGATTAAGCTGACACAGACACCTGAAGAGGGAGAAAAACACACATGGCGCCACACGCCAAGAAAATTCCTATCCTCTCCCACTCCCGCTGTGCTGCTTGGTCTCCCTCACACACACACACACACACACACACGCTCAGGTCCTCATGATCACACTGGATAAATTCTTCCTGTGCAGATCGGAGAATGCCAGAAGGGCACCATGTTCTGAATGAGTCATCCAGACCCTGCCCATCAGCATGTCTCTCTCGCTCTCTCTCTCTCTCTCTCTCTCTCTCTCTTTTCTCTCAATGAAAATCTGTCTCTATCCATCCATCTCTATAATACAGCCTATGATCCATCTCTCCCATCCATCCACCCCTCTGTCTTATCATGTGAGCAGTGTGTTGGCCCGGACAGAACAGAACAGACGGTGTGGGTCTTTGTGCCCGTACACCACATACCGGCAGTACGTCGGGTATGCCAGCTATGTTGAAATGTGCATCCACGTTCGTGCCTCGGCTGGTAAAAAAGCATCGCTGCGCATCTCTACTCTGACCTGCGTGGGATATTGTGCTTGTATTTTGATTACATAATGTGCTATGACCTGAATGTGATGTGAGGACAAATCCCCAGATTTACTGTATGTTTTGGTGGCTGCAGATTCTCTCAGGAAACCGTAGCGCCGACAGGGATTCAGTGACATACTGGGACCGATTCAAGCACAGGAAGATTTGCTTCTGTGGCATGTTTTACAATTTTAAAAGTACATTGTTTACATGAGTATTTAAGAGTTGTACTGCAGATGACAGATGCATCTCAGTGTCTTGCTTGCTTTTCTCAATAGGCTTTTGCTTACAATCGTTTTCTGAATAAAGCAATCGATTCCCTTCACATATAACATACAGTAGGTTGATATCAATTCAAATGCCAATATTTAAAAACAGATCAGGACATGATGTTTGGCTCTATTCATAATATTTACGGTCAATCCATGGAGCTGTGATTACATGCAATTATCCCATAGGCTGCTGTATGATGGCAGTGTGGCAGAAAGTGCTTAGTGAGTGTGTGGGGAGGTGTTGTTTTTAATAACTCAGCTCGCTGTCATTCATGGCAGACATCGGCCATTTTGCCTCGCAATTCATTACAATCAAGTGCTCTTTGTTCCCGTCTATGTTTCTCCCACGGCAACATGGCAGAGCTGCACACAGGCAGAAAACTAAAAGGCAATAACACTCATCGCTCTGCCTGACACAGACTTCATAGAGGATTTATGGGGGGAAAGGTTCAGCGAATGTCCAGCTCTTCAATAACAACAGTGGCTTGATTGATTAAGGCGATTGATGTTTGTCTTAAGGAGGCTGTCTCAGCACCGGTTTAAGGTGGACGGCATTGTTGGTGCCGCGTGAGCTCAGGCTCAGGAAGGGACTGTGTGACAGAGGCGAGGTGGCCAAAATGTTTGGACCGTGTGAGATGGAGCGGCTTTAGCATGTGGGAGGGGTGTGTTCGGGAGCAGCAGTTATGCAATCGCAGCATGGTGTACCCAGCACTCTCACTGCAGCGCCAATGTATTGCCAATATGGAGATACCTTAGTGCTGCTGACAGCTACAGAACAGGCAGTTCCTGCCCCGTCCCTTTCACCCCCACCCACCCCTTCTTCCGGCCCCTACTGTCTGTCTGTGCAGAGGTCTGTCAAATGTCATAACCAGCTGGAGTCGTGACCCCTGAAGACACCATCTACACCCAAACTCACACATCTAACCACTGTTTGTGATCCATGCAGATAAGTCGGTGGGCAGGTTCCTCTCCGTTCATGCAGCCATGTGTGTGTCTCCAAAATCATGCAACCACCATGCAAAGCCCAGCTTAACGCAACAAAAGGCACAGAGCACCTCTGTCATGCACAAAAGACGGCCAGAAAGAAAAGAACATTAGTGTGAAAGCCACACAGAGGAGCCACACCTCACAGATGTGAAACAGATGCGGAGTATGAAGATGAACACGGAGGAAAACCTCTGTATCTTCTCTGTGAAACAGATGCAAAGCCATCTCTCATCCTCACCTGTCTGCCTACGCACTTGTCTTGTTCCAGTCCTTTCCTTGCCTCCTCGATTCCTGTTCCAGTTCTTGCTGTCGATATTGTTGATGTTGTATTGAGAGGATAAACCGCTCAGTCTTTTTGTTCAGTGGGATGTCTCACCAGGGGGAAGGATGCTCTCTCTCCTGTCCATACGATTCTAGAAGGATGAACAACGAGTGGCAGCAGTGGAGGGAGGCAAACATGGAGGGGATGTAAGATGGAGGAAGCTGTTACAAGGTGGATGCGTCATGTCCAGGCTTGGTGTCGTTGAGCTCCGCATCCCTCGTTCCCCTTCTCCTCTCCTCCGTGGTACCTTTGTCCTTCACTCTCCCACCCGTGATTCTTTTCCGCCGAGCTGTGGCTGAGCGTCTCCCTCCGGTCTCTCTTTCTCCATCCCTCTCCCCCAAGCCCAAATGTATTCAGCTTATTCTGGGCAGCGACCTGAGCTTCTGCGCCGCTTTTTCTCTGCATGCACGTCCCTCTTCTCTTCCCTCCTGTCTCTCTGCCCGTCTCTTTCTTCTGGTCTTCAGGTAAATCTCTCGTCTCGCTCCTTCCCTCTCCTCCGCTGTTATCTCTCCTCTCGGCTCAGCTGCCGTTCATTACTCCTTTTCTTCTCCTCCTCCAGTCAGTGCGCCTCACAGTCACACATGCGCAGTGTTTTCATACATACATGCACGATCACACACACTCCCTCTCTGTGCCTCTGGCTCCCTCCTTATGCATGTGGCTTGTTTTGCCTGCCCACCCCCACCTCTCTCTCTCTCTCGCTCTCTCTCTCTCTCTCTCTCTCTCTCTCTCTCCTCACACACACACTCCCTCTCTTTCTCTCTCGTTTGCTCTCCCGCTTCTGCAGCACACACTGCAGTGCCTCTGCAGCCAGGATCACGTTTTTCTAGTTGCCAGAGAAAATATTTCAGCCAATGAGAAACGTTAGAGACGCTAACCCCCTCCCCCACCCCCCACATCAAAACACACATATGCATACACACACACATAAAACACACATGCTCATTTATACACAAGCATGCACACCGCCATCTGAGATAAGAGCATGTTTGTGTGCAGTGTTTGTGTATAAACCCTGCACCTTAGTGATGAATCATACCTAATGTACAACATTAAAACACACTCACATATGGTTTAGTCGACAGCCAGGCAAACAGGAAGTACAGGATGCTGGTGCAAACAGATCTCATTGAAAGGAGTGCAGCAAATCTGACAAAAAAGAGCATTAATTCACTCACAAATGAATTTTCTTCAGGCTGCTGACTGGATGCTTTTTGGAAAAACAGATCCATCATATTCAACACTAAGCTCATGCAGCTCACTCATGTTTACACAAACCCACAAACACGGCCTCAAAGTATAAATGTTAACAACCAAACAGAGGGGTGTCATGTGTACTCATTCTTCCTTGACACTTTGAATCCCCCAAAAAAAGATGTGACTGCTAAATGTGACACGGTTGAGTTTCTATAAATTCAAAAATAATTCTTAAAAGCTCCCAACACAGATCTGCTCCGTCAGTGATGTTGCATAACGAGGATTTTATATTATAAATGTTGTATCTGCTCGAGTCTTCATGCTGACCAATAAATAATCCTCAGATCAAAGTGGAAAAAAAAAAACATGACGTGAGTTTCCAATTAATGTAAGAGGGTTGTGCTTATATAACATGGGAAGCATAATGCAATGAGAGATAATCTGAACAGCAAATAGCTTGTGTTTGAAGGGCTTTTAGCAGCCAGCGCTGTGTAAACTTGCTCTTCTTAGAAGTTTCAGGAAGATTCAGAGTATTTGCTCAACACATCATTGATGCAATACAAGTTCCTCAAACATTTGGTGTGCAGTTTTCTCATACTATACAGTATCTCTCTCTCTTTTTATTTTAATCCCGCAGCCTTTTAGGCAACTTGCTGTGTGTTCATAATCCTGTTGTTAAAGTTCATGAAAACAATTTTTTTTTATTTAAATCAAATATTCATGACCATGCAGTGTTGGGCAGTAATTAATTATAATGTGTTATAGCCATTTTCAGTAAGGATTAGGACAACACTTTTGTGTCCCCCTTAAACTTTTAAAAAACAGTTTATTACACACTATTATATAGTTGTAAGTAAATATAAGAGTTAATTAATTAATTTATGTATTTGTCAGTAACTACTGTAGCTATACAAAATATGTATAGTCAAACACAGTTGTGACAACAGTAACAATATAACATGTCTTCATATAGGACGTTATAAATGTTGACAAATATGTACCCCAATAAGTACTTTACAATTACCTTAAATCTGCGACATGCTGCTGTTATATTCAGCTGTGCAGTCCAACCAGAACTATGAGGACTCTGGACTGGTCAGGAAGCTTGGCAAAACAAAACAAAAAGATGCGTTAGCTTTGAGCTAACTTAAGTCCGAAGTTTTCTTAATTACCTGGCATAAAACACCTGGTTTTACCCAGAGTTGGAGGGTGTGTGAACCGGTGTGGCTTCATGGTGAGGAGGCTAAAGTAAGTAGCCGTTGCTGGTCAGTTTACACCTCCAATGAGGCTTGCTGCTTGTTGAACCTCAACGTCCACCTGTGTACAAAGTAACGAGTAATACTACTGTGCAGTTGAGTAATTGGTAAAGTATTAATTAGGCCTGCTTTTTCAGTTTTAAGAGTAATTGATTCGATTTCTAATTACTGGTGTAATGAATGAATAAAGCATCAAGGTGAAGCTAGTATTCATTACAATTATAAAGGCAGCTAATCTGCTTCCTCAGAACAAACAACTCCACAGCTGTGAGCTTGCTTGGTGCTCTGAACTACATAATATGTGACATCATGGATCCCAACAACCAACTATTTCACGCTCATTAACTCACTGTTCACGGTTAACACAATATCATACATTTTTTGACATGGTTTCATGGAATCTAACACACTAATCCCTAAATATTACCTTTGCGAAGCTTATTGTTTTTTTCACATGTGATACAGACCCTGTTTGGTAATAGTTTGGATCACATGTAGTTTGTGGAGTCGTCTTTATAATTATTTGGATATAAACATGGCACTGTGATGAGATAGACTTAACTCAGGGCAGGACTGAACAACAAATATCAAGGATATCAATGCTTTACATTACCACAGGAGGACATTCTGAAATGCTTTGGGGGCCATATTTTGAACGATGTAACATTTTGAGAATTGTCACCTGAAATGGCAACTTAGGCCCCTCTGGAGTGAGACAGCTTAACCTCTTTCTCAGACTGGGTCAAGTGGAACCCATAAAAGGCATAAAGAAATATGTATTTCTTCATCGAAAAATGTCTAAGATGACTTAATTATCATTTAAAAATGTCAATAGGTTCATTTTATTTAGGCCCTTCTGCTAGCTATTATAATTGACTCAATCTTTGTTTGAAGTTTTAAAAGAATTCAAAACATGTCTTGCCTCTTCATTTCTCATCACTGTGAATAGCGACGGCCAGCAGATGGGGTTTGGCTACTAGCACAAACACTCCTGCCAGAGAAGTCTCTATGTTGACCTTTGACTTGCTCGTTGCACTTAGTCACCACACAGGCCAGCAGAATCACTGCCAGGCATGTGATTCAAACACATATAAAGTCATATGTGGCTTCTGGAGAATTAGGCAGGGGTAGAAGCTAATCCAAGGCAGAAATCATAAATCATTCAACAGTGGTGCACATATTCAAGGCCTACATTAGTGCACATTAACCACAGTTAGTGATAAGAGCCAGATAACCAGTCACAATGGGAATGACTTACAGTACATTCAAAAGTGGTCATGTCTGGTTTCGGCATTTCTTTACCAAGTACGTAAAAGACTAAATTGACCTCGGTAAGAGCAGATTTCACCAGAAATTGAATGTGCAATAAAATATACAGAAAGCCAGTGTCTTACAAGTTCAGCAGTGAACCACCAGAGGGAAGCAAAGAGAGTCAAACTGTATTCTGTGTAATTCACAAACCTACTTCCCTGAGATGTTTTTATTCATTAACACCTAAAAACAACACACAGTGAGATTCTTAGTATTGAAGAAGAGGCAGCACTTGTGGACTTTGAGCACATATAATGAGGGGGAAAAAGGGTTATGTAGACTGAGGTCGCAAAAACAGTAATTACAGGGAATTTTTACATCCTCAATCTTGTCCAAACCCGCATCTGTTATGTATTACAGGTTAAAGAGGCATTTTTATTCAGCATGTAATCTCAAAAACACATAAAAATTAACTTAGGCCAATTCACTTTCTTGTCAATTACATGTAAACTACAAAATCCAAGAGACGATAAAGGAGCATTTATTTTTCCAGTTTTGAGTAAGAGTAAATACTAGTTGAGTTGACACTATGGCCATTATTATCACATTTTAAACACATTATTGCGATAGCTAAAAGCAGTCTGATTATTGTACCAATTAAGTTCATGTGAACAAGGGCTGTTATCAGATATCAAATCATAAATTTATACTGCTACAAGCAGTGTGAGTGGACTCTTTCTGGTAAAGACAAGCGTGAGTCACCCTGCAGCTCCATTCATGAGTTGTTCTGACACCTTTGCCCTCAGTCATCATGTTTACAATCACAAAAAGCTAAAGTAAAGACGAGGAACAAAAGTCATAGTTAAATATAAATTATCCGAGAGCATTTGGGACCAGCCGAGTTTCTTTAACCGAAAAAACCATGAAAGAAAACAGCCACACACAGGAGGATGAGGGCGTTTGCGTTGACTATGTTCCTCCATAGCGGCACCTCTGTGGTGTCTGTGAGCTTCCTCTGCAGCTCTGCCTGCTCCTCTGGACTCAACTTGGGGGCTCTTTGCTGCTCCAGGCCACAGAAGCCCATCACCGCCTTCTTGCAGAAGCCTGGTTCCTCCTGGGGCTCTGTGATGGAAGAGACAAAGGCGATGAAGAAAATCTACTTGGGTGTGTGTTCATATGTTAATACTAAATGTCTGTTGATTACCGTCTATGTCCATATTGTTGGACTCTTGGTTGTCAATCCAATCATCCTGTTCGAGGTCCACCCTCTCTTCTGTACGGTTCCTCAGGCTCCAGCAGAGACGATACAACTAGACAGGCAACACAACACATTGAAATGCATTATTTATAAAGTTGGCTATTTCTGTGTCTTCCAGTGATGTTCGGGGATTCATTTTGTATCCAGCCTTATCTCACAGCGGTCACGTACATGCTTGTCGTCAATGGGTTTGGTCATGAGAGAGACTCCCAGGATGATGACACAGGAGACAACAAACAGGATGATGGCGAAGTAGAGGTAGTGGACTCCACATATGATGGTGGGACAGTTACTGGGGTTATTGCAGCTGCCTGTCCCAAAAGCAAACTCAGAAATCATCCTGGACAGGCCGATAAGCAGGCCAATCGCCAGGCCATAAAATGCGCCCTGAGGAAAGAAGAAAGTAGGAAAAACTCTCAGTATATGTATTAGGATAATGTCTCCAGCTATGCTGACGGCTGAGTGGTGCTACATGCTGACCCTAGCAAGATAACCTGTAGATTTTAAACAACTGTAATGTTAACTTTGTTCACCACTTAATTTAGGTGTCATACCTAACATTTGCTAATTACAACCAAACACAAAGTCCAGCTGAGGCTGTTGGGAATATCAAAATAGTATTACAGGTATTGGACAAAATAAATATCATATGATTTGATAATGAGACCTGATAAATTGTGCTGGATGAAAATTTAAAGGATCATCAAAATGATTACAATTCATCCAGAGAGGGACGTGATTATGTATACAAAATTGCGTGACAATGCATCCGTTAGCTGTCGAAATACAGTATTTTACTAGCTGTCGAGAACAAACTGCGGATGGCGCTAGAGGAAAAAGTCACTGGGCTTCTCCCTCTGGGGGACAATGAATGTCTCTGTCAAATTTCATGGCAAACCAACAAATTAGTTGTTGAGATATTTCAGTCTGGAATTAAGTCGGGGATCAACCAACACAACTAAATAAATCCTAATAGCATGTAATACATTTCTGTTGGGCCACAGAACCACCACAGGGCATACATGGAGCAGCATCCAGCAGACACATATAACTCATATGAAATATGCATAATGGCAATTATGAACAAGAAACCAGGGCAGGAGGAATGAGCCGGGACAGTAATGGCAGCATCATGAGTGAGAGTGAGTTTGTCAGATTATAAAATCCTCCTCACTGGCTTCTGTGGCTGGGGATTGTGTGAATATGTGTTGATCTGTCAGCTAATGACTGACAGATCAGCTGATGGCATGCATGACAGCAGTATTTTGCCTAAGCTAATATGACGATCGTGAGAGTAAAAAACATATCAACAGGGGGTCCATCTTCACGCCAAACCCCAGTCCAACTGTTTCAGGACACATAATGTATGTCCAGTGACTCAACTGCTTTATGGTCAGAAGACCCTAAATTACACAAGAAGTCAGAGGAAGCAGTTTAAATAAAGATGTTGCCAAAGACCTTTGGCCAGTAATTACTTAATATCTTGATAATGGACTGAACTTTACCACACACAAAAGCCTTTTTATCCACGTTAGAGGCATGGCTCTCTAACAGGCTGTCGGCCTGATAGTCAGTCCATCACTTTGGTCCAGACTGAAACATCTCGATAACTACTGGATGGAGTGCCATGACCTTTGGTACAGAAACTCGTGGTGCCCAGAGCATGAAGCCAAATGACTTTTTTCCCCCAATACTTTGGTTTCCATCATTCTCAGCTGTACTTTGTGTTTTGTGCTAATCAGCATGCTATCACGCCAAACTAAGATGGTTAACAAAGCAAACATTTTACCTACTTTACATCAGCATGTTAGCATTGTCACTGATCAAAGCACCTCAGAGATGCTGGCATGGTTGTAGACTCTTGCTCTTTTTTGTATGAAACAGACAATATATTGCTCTGTAGGGAGTTAAATAAAGAGATGACTGAAGTGGAAAACTCACAGACTCATTGACACGCTTGCAGAAGATGGCAAGCATGAAGACAGCTGCTACAGGTGGTGATAGGTAGCTGGTGATGGACTGGATGTAGTCAAAGAGCTGACCACTCTGGGCTGATTGCACCACAGGGATCCATGCTATGCTCACACCAATCAGGGCCAAGATAAACAATCTATACACGGACAGAGATAGTGGCAGTAAGGCATGCATGAACTCTCTCATTTGTCAGAAAACTTAATGAACTGAACCCCAATGTGTTTTACCTGCCGGCTACCATGAGTTCCCTTTCACTGGCTGTGCGGCGAATCTTAGTGTAGATGTCCATTGTGAAGAGAGTACTGGCACTGTTGAAGATGGAGGTAAGTGAGCTCATCAGAGAGGCCATCATCACCGACAGCATGAGACCGCGCAGACCTAAAACAGATAAAATAACAGATTCAAATGGTAACAAAAAAAAAACTGCCGTTTGTATTGTCAGCGCACAAGACAAAGGTCTTTAGCCACACACCATTGGGCATGATATCCAACACCAGTTTGGGATAAGCGATGTTGGTGCAGCCCACACTGGCACCGCAGTATTTTTCACATTCAGCCGGGTCCACACATGCCACCACATCTTGAATGAAATGAATAAGATCAGCAGGATGTTAACAAAGATGGAAATCCCCCATTGTTGTAAGACGGGCATGAGCTACATTGCGTTCAGCTGGTGAGCTTGCTTCAGCCAACACCTGTCCCATTATAAACTCACTCACCTGGATAGAGGATCCTGCTTATCATCCCAGGGAAAACCATGAGGAACATAGGCAGCAGCTTCAGGTAGCCACACAAGATACAGCCTGCCTTAACGTGAGATAAGTTCTTAGCTGAGAGGCAGCGCTGGACAATCACCTACAGGAAATGTCACAGGCGGGAAAAGTTCAGTATAGCGCCATGATGAAATGGATGTTAAAAAAAAAAGGTTGTAATGAACTCTAAACTATTCTCTCTATTTTAGTTTTAAAACTATTTGCTGAGTGAATACATCCCTTAAGTCAAAGAAGTCAAAAGAATATGCTTGCTGATAAGTATTGTCCTCTGAGCAGTGATAAAGGCCGACGATAATGTGTTTATCTGTGTGCTGGATGTCAACATTTCAATTTTCATCTACTTCTTTGCCGAGATCCAGCAATAGTCTGCCTGTTAATCTTATCTCAGTCTCTGGGAGTGCATTACGGTCTAACTAAAAGCATGTCACTCCTCATACTAAAGGCCACCTTAGACCGCTTGAATGAGTCTGGCAAAAACAGGCAAGATCAGGGCACATCATGTCTGTACAATTGTGTGGGAATCAATTGAATGAGTCTGTTTGTGTGTGTGTGGGTGAGTGTTTATGACCATGGATTGTGGTCGTGCAAATGCCCAATACCGGACATATCCTGTACTGACCTGATCAGTGCACCAGTACCAGGTGGCCTGAATGGTGAGGCCAAAGACAAGGCCAGGCCATGGCAGGTCTCCTGTGATCGCGTTCCTAAAAATGTGGAAGGAGTCGGCCCGAGGCTCGTAGCAGCTCGCACTGACGTTAGCCGTGATAGAGGGGACGGCCTCCATGTAGCGCTGCTGGAAGCTTTCATAGCCTCCCACCTCATTGAAAGCTGCAGATGTGTGTTAGTTAGACTGACTTAACAATCATTTTTACAAACAGGATTTGTCTCGTCACAATAAATAATACAAATGAGTATAGTGATAAAAAAAGGAAAATACCATATTACCAAAGCCCATAAGGATGAATGATCCAACAACCATGATGATGGTCTGTAAGGTGTCTGTGTAGATCACTGCAGCCAATCCACCTGAGATACAGTATGTGAGGTCATCAGTGTATGTATTTCCATTCCAAATCAACCCATTTTATCACCACTAATGTACTTCACTGAACTTACCGGAGAGAACTTTGTACAAGATTCAATTCATTGCGGCAAATTGGTTCATTCAGTGTGAAGATTGTTTTGTGTAAGTGAACGTTCTTTGTAAAGTTAAAGTTCAGGTGTGTATTCGTTATTACAAAACAGCAACAGAAGGCCATTTCCTGCTTATCGCAGTCCATGGGTAATTAACCACATTGACACACTAGACAGGAGGAGACAGTGTGTCTATGTGTGTGTGCCTACATCTCTATATATATGGCCTTCAGAAGACTTTAGCCCTAGTCGTAGTGCCATTCTGTAAAGTAGATAAGACTACTGGCTTTAATCTATGGGTTTGGTGGAAAAGGAAGAGGATGCACCCTACGGGGACAGACCTGTGACAGTGTAGAGTGCAGTAATCGATAGTAGCATGATGACAGCAAGGTAGATATTCAACCCAAGTGCCTGGTTGATAAAAATCGCACCAGAGAACATGTCTGCCTGAGTGGAGAGGAGAGGGGAAAACACATCATTTCAATCAATAATGTGAAATACAATGTTGACATAGAGGACATCACTGAGGGTTACGACGTGGTGACTTACTGAGATCTTAGTGAAAACATACAGGAAGAGGGACAGCACAGAGAGATAGATGCGAATACGCTGTCCTCCAAACCTCTTCTTCAGGTACTCGGGCATGGTGACCACCTAAAATCATAAATAATAAATTAGATTTTCATTCATGTTTGTCTGACTTACTTTTGTCCTCTAATGTTGCTGTTTTATATGTCCAACAGTGTGTTCTGTTTACCCCAGCTTTAATGTAGATGGGCACGAAGAGCCATCCTAGAATGACGACCACTATAAGAGCCTGAAACACTCAAACATACAAGGACACAAGAAATGAATAAACAATGCCGATCAAAATGCTAAAAGAAAACGTTGACTTCTGTTGTTGTTCTGTTTCCTCTGCAGGGTGAAACTCTCATGATAATCGACTCTTATCAGCTCACCTGATACAGATAACGGATAATATCTGTCACAGGTTAGAAATATATTTGTTTTAAGAAGTGATAATGGTGTAATTGGCACCTCAGACACGATCACTCACATTCCATTCAAATCCACCAATGGCGATTCCCCCAGCTGCAGCAGTCCCAGCAATGCCTACAAAGTGGCCACTGCCAATGTTGCTGGCAAACAGTGAGGCTCCAATCTGCGGAGTGCATAATTATTATTATTATGAATAATTATCCTTGAATAATATGCATAATTTCTAAGATTCACAGCTGACTATGCTTCTGTGGTATGTCACGTAGTCAGTATAATGTGTAATATACCATAATATGGTATACTAGCAGTTAGCACAAACTATAAAAACCTGTTGTCAGTCATTACGAGATACCCACCGGCCACCACACCATACTCCTCCCCGCAAGGAAGAAGCCACCGACTGTGGATCGGTTGGTGCGGATCATAGCCTGCAACAGGACGAGGGCACATTTTAGAAAATACATAAATGCATTTGTGCAAAACAGCAACAGACTCTCTATTTCAAATGTCACTACACTTTTGTTAATGATCACATTATACTGTGTATGCAGCAGTGATAAAAAAAAAAGAACAAAATCCCAGTAACGCTATGTATCTAAACATGTGCATTCCCTAAATGTTAAGTAATCTGATCTGCAATAAAATATCGTGAGCCAGGTTGTTGAGTAAGATGCTGTGATTGAATAATATGAGTCCACTCCACTGCATGTAATTTATTCCAAAGTGCAGCTGTAGACGTGCTAAAAAACAAGGCTATTATAGTATCCAACCTATAATAAATCACTATATTTTCTCTTATGGCTCAATACAGACTTTTTCTTCTTATATTGACGTAAAACAAACTACAAATATCACTACTGTGAAACTGTTGAGGAGTTAAATATTCACAGAGAAGAAGGATTTTGTAGAACGTTCAACTGAAAGACTGAGCAACTCACCCATACTCCAACAGCCAAGACAACCAAAAAGTAGATCACAATAACGGAGATATCTGCTGCGTTGTTAACAGCCACAGTGGCCGTGCCGTTTCTTGCATAGTTCCTTATTAAGGAGAATCCAAAATAATCCTGAGACATTTTTGCTGAGAGGGTGACCAGAGAACAGGAGTGTTGCTGGTGTCGCTCCTCTTTGACCGAAGCACCTGCACAGACACTTATGTATACCTTTGCTGGAGGTGTGTTTGAGTGTGGGAAAGATGGGGGGCTGGGAGGGAGTTCATCTAATAAATAGCCAGCTATTGTGTTTGGTTGAAAGTGTGTTTGGATCTGCAAATAAACCTTGCTGTTACATTGCAGTGTTTGTGTAAATCCATGTGTTAAAATGTGTAACCTTTCAGCAAATACAAAAAAAAAATGCTGTTAATGATCAACCCACGAGGAATTACCACAAGTAAAGAAATAGGTGGATCTACAGGCTTCATCAGCACTACTGCCAAACTCAACTTAATCCAGGTCAATTTAAACAAACACATGTACGTATAAAACACTTCTTCTCCCTGTTAAAGGGTTTTTTGGGGGAGTTTTTCCTGTACTGATGTGAGGGTCCCGGGACAGAGGATGTTGTATGTGTAAAGCCCTCTGAGGCTAATTTGTGATTTTGGGCGATACAAAATATATTGAATTGAAATCGAATTGAATTGTATAGGCTAATATATGTTGCCATTTATGTTCACACAATAGCGGAGTAATCTGGGGCGAGGCACCAAAGACTAACTGCAATTACTATTATCAATCTTATAAAATCTTTAAATCTAAGCGAGGCCTTCATTTACGATCTCTAAACAGCTCTACCAAATAGGAAATATTCTCTCCTTTACTGTAAGTCTTGTACAAATGAAAGGCACTTAACATTGACTGCACTCCACCCACAGTGAACACTCCTTTATCCTTAAACAAGTCTTTGTGTGTTAATTATTAGACTAAAGGCCAATGTTTGAAGGAAGTCACGTAAGAGAATGAAAAAAAACAAAATGTCAATGTGCAAACATTTAAAGAAGGTATAAGCAGCCACTAGGTGTCTCTACAGGACAGTGAAACTCATCTAATTCAGGTGATTCTGAGCTCATACACACATTTAAGCGTATACTGTACTATTCACCTTGTTTACTTGTACTTTACATTGTATGCTACTTTATACTCCAACTCCCATTTCGGACTGATATATTGTACTTTTTACTCAACTAACATTTATTTGATCATGTTTGTTACTCTGCATATTCAAATATAATAACTAACATATCAACAATTTCATTCGGATGAATTATTATAAATTAATAAATAATACAATTCATATTCTGAAATGTGCCAGTCTGCATAACTACTTTTACTTCTGATACTCAGGGTATTCTAATTGATGATGCTAATTTTGTGTTTTTTCTTAAAATAATATTTGTATGCATAACCTTTACTCAAAACAGTATTTGGGCACTGACATATTGCTACTTTTACTTTAGTTAGAAAGCTGAGCCCTTTTCACATTTTGACAAGTCGTTGCAGGTTAAACATAATATTAATTATGGCCTTGTTTCATTAAGGTGGACCATGAGGCCCTGATATTGGGCATGCTGGCTCCCTGGAATGGCTGTGACACACTAAATAGAATGGGACCATAATTAACTTGATCAATCACACCTGTGTTTAACCTGTTAGGACAGGTCAAAGTGGCTGCTGCGAAAAGGGCCTTCAGTGTCAAAGCCCCTTCATAGTGTCACCACACAGGTGTTTTCACTCATGAGTCCTGATTAGACCTCTTCTCAAGTGAACAGACTGTGCATGACTGACATCGCCCTCACTCTCATGTGGCAGAACCTACACTGTTATTGCCTTGTATAGTCAGGTAACATCAGGTCATTTCCAGTATAGCTCCACCCAGCTTCAACTGACTGGAGGTCTAAGTTGTCAGGATAATTGAAAACACCTTGATGTACCTTTAGTGTATCGTGAGTGCTCACTCAGGGTTCCACCGTGCAGTGGGCTCTGGCTTTTGGCAAAGAGAAAATAAAAATATAATGGGAAAGGTTTTGTTCTTGTAACCCGGAAGAACATAATAGCTGCCTTGACATTTACATTTTCACTAGTTTAACAAGGTCAACAACAATTTTTATGACATGAGAGTGATAGTCAGTATTTTACTTTTTATTTAATTTGTACATGTGGTTTTATAGGTTATGTAACAAAAATGGGGGAAACATTTATTGAGCTGGGCCAAGTGAGACACACATCACCTGTAACAGGTTTAACAGCCAGAAGACACACATTTAGGTTTTTACCCAGCTATAGTCGTGTATACATAAGCTAAGCAACATCCTTATAGTAAGTACATTGTATCTTAATTATAAACTAATTCAATTAAGAGAGCCATTATGGAATTAGATCCTGTAATTAAATGGCCGAACGCAACTATCACCTAAAAAAACATCTAATTTGCACTCAATGAGCAGTGATTGGTTTGTTCAATCCGGTGTACCTAAATGTTTCGCAACTCAGTGTACAGGGAGCCAAAGCATGAACATGTGATTTAATTTTTTTTAGTTTTCCACATCAAAATGGCTGAATAAAGATGAAACAATACCTTCTCCAAAACACGAGAGAGGCAAGGGAGTGAGATGGGGGAGTTATCAGACTGATACTGTTACAAATGGCTGCTTGAAATCTCTAAATGGGGACAATCAATATTCACTTGAATGAGAATCAATTATTGGAATGAGGCCAGTGGTCTGTGGGGATTAAGGCTCAGCCACACTCACGGATTTCAGTCCTGAGAGGAGCCTTTGAATTTATAACCACCCCAGACAGGTCAAGACTTTGTCAGACTTATTTGATTTTGTGTTGTCCAGTTTATTTGTATATTCACTGAGACTGAAATCTGCTCATAACCTTGGCAAGTACTGTAGTTGATGCTTAAAACACGAACACATCACAGAGCCGATCACACCAGTGCAGCAAGACCACAAACAAACACTGCTGATTCGTGCAAGAAATTGATCTCTTGCAGGAGTGCATTCTTCATACATAGTAGTCTGTATAGTGGGGGAAACTACTGTAGTCTTTGGCAAACAGAGAAGTGATTGAGTGTCCTGACCTGCAGTCGACATACAATTGTGTCTTATAAACTCCTCCCTGTGTCTACAGATCTATTATTCAGGAAACTCTGTCAGAAGGGCCCATGGACTGAAACGGGGAAAGAAACTCGCTGGCCTGGTCTCAAAAAATAGACGTACGGACAGTAATTATCTTGTGATTTCAACACCACTGGTGAGTACTCCACACTGCGCTTTGTCCAGGTTTCTGTGTCAGGTAAATTGTTAAAAATCAGGGCACAAATCTACCATATTTCCATGATCATTTTCACATCAGCCAAGTTTGCTTTTTTGTCTGTTTCCACCACCATCCCATGAACAATTTCACCCAATTTCAAAACAATTCATAATTCTAAACCCATGAACAACAATCAAAATGTCAGATGGAATAGATTACCTTTTGATATTGATATTGATATTGATATTGATAGAAACCATTGACTGCTGAAAATAAAATGACACAAAGTAATGAAAACGCAATGTGATGCTTTGTTTAACTTTATTTCAAAGGCCTTGGTATTGTACATGCTAGTTCACTGTCACACTGTCACGGCTTACTTGGACAACTGAAGAGAGTCATGGATGAGTGCTTCTCCTTCTATGACAAGTCAAAATGTCCTCTGTGAAAAAGGTGTGTCATGAGGATATTATCTTTCAGCTTCTCAGAAAGTTCTGTAAAAGAAACTCTTGATTCAAAGACATTTTGTGTAATAGAAACCCATGGAACAGAGCAGATATACAGTCTGGAGTAAATGGCATAGAGCATGAAAAAAAGAAAAAAAAGACGAAACACATATGCAGCATCAGAGTAAATGAAGATGGAACACAGCATTAATTAAAGATTTAAGTCCCGCTTGGAAAAACTGTGCACCTTTTAGAGCGAATGCCTCTTTGCAGTTGCAGCCCAAAACCTCTAGCAAACCAATATCAAAACATCTGGACCTTTCCTGTGCACAGACTGATGCTAATAAAGTGACGCAAAGCAAAGTTGGAGAGGTTTTAGTAGCGGTATGTTAAAAGGTTGAATCTTCAAATTGGCTATTTGGGTACCATCTGTGCCACTTGAAATGAATGTCACTTACATGTCACCATCTGTATTTATTCCATCTAAATGCAAATGTTTTGGGCTTTGTTTTGAAAAATCAATCAATCAGATCTTTATACATTGAAAGAGAACCATAACCTATTGGTCCATTTGACCAGCTCCATCCTGTAGCAAAGGCCAATGCCATTAGCATGAGTGCAGTACCACGATTCATCCACCAGATGGGAAAATAGACCCTGTTTTCAGTCATGCCATGCAAATGGGTTTAGACGACTGGAACTGACTCAAAAATGGTACAGAAACATTGGAGTGATAAGATTTATATCGTTAAAATCTCTGGAATCTCAGCTTTCCTAATAACATGCCGTTCATGTAGCAAAATCACTAGCACCATTGCTCGGTGTTGGAATTGTGTTTCGTTCAGGTAAAAATGGTTAACATGAGCTTTTGAATGCAGGATGAATATGTTGTTACGTGTCCTCATCTGGTGTTTGTTGCATTGTGCGCAGCTCCCCAGATGCGAAGAGGCTCAAGATATTGACACCTCTGATGATGGAGTGTCATTGCTTTGGTGTTTGGTATCCATGCAGTGGTCCTGCATTATATAGTAACACATTTCAATAATCTTCGAAATGCAGCTAATAAATTCCAGTAAAACCTAATATACCCAATGACAGTTCTATTGTGTGTGCATTACATCTATGGAAGGACATTAAGTACTGAAAATATAATGAAAATGTGGTAAACTGTGGTTGTTTAATGCAAAATGCATCAACATCCTGTCAAATCTTTATTTTGTATATATTTAAAGTAATTTACTGTCACAATGTTATCAATGTGTTGCATTATTTAGTTTTTCTCATTCGATAAAGACATAAAATAGTCTTGGTTTGGGTAGTATTGTTGTTGATCTGAATGTTTTTCAGTACATGAGCAGCAAACACTCATTTAAAATAGATTTATATAGTTAAACAATAATACTTAAAAAATATAAATCTTCAATCTCTTAGTGCTCCTGTGCATATCTGGGATATCAAAATGTTTGATCTCTTAAACACAAAAATGCATGTAGTTCAGTGAATTAGGAAAACCTCACTTTCCAAGTAGCCGACATTTATTAATTCAATTGTAAAAAATATTGACAACAAAGATGTATGTGACAGAGTTCAACATAATTGATGTGCATTAGTTCAAG